TGTGTTGTTGCAAAATCTCTATTGCTCAGGCTAGAGTGCAGCAGTGATAACTTGGCTTACTGCAACCTCCGCCTCCTGGGTTCAAGTGATTATTATGCCTCACGCTTCTGAGTATCTGGGATTACAGATGTGCTCCACTACGGCTAATTTCGTATTTTTGATAGAGATGGTTTTGTCATCTTAGCTAGGCTGGTCTTGAACTCCTGACCTCAAGTGATCCTCCCACCTCAGCCTCTCAAAATGCTGGGATTACAGACCTGAGCCCCCATGCTCGACCATGACCTGGACATGTTTGTGCTCAGGACTGTCAGTTTGCAGAGTGTCCCTCAATGTGGGTGCCTCTGATGTGCTTGCGTCATTCCACCCGGGCTGTGAATATTTGGCCAGAACAGCACTCAAGGTATGCTGTGTCCTTGAATCCCATAAGGTGGCACGTGATTTCCTTTTGTCCCACTATGGCGACATTCACTTTGGTCACTAAGGTGGGTTTTACCAGGCTTTTCTACTGTACAGTTACTCTTTTCCCCTTTATCATTAAGAAGAATTTCTTAGAGAGATGCTTTAAAATTATGTTAACATCCTGTCTGCCATCCATGTCCGTTTCAATTATTTGTATTTTTCTGTTTTATTCAATGGTTTATAATCTGTTACTTATATATTGTTGACATCAGTGCTCAAATTGTCCTCGCTGTGGCCAGTAGGATGTCATCCAGGCTGGCCTCTGTGTCCCTTTGGCATATCCACATCATTCTTTAAGTGCTTCCTTGCTTTCTGGCAACAGATGCTCCAGGCTTCATTTTATACTTTTCCTGCCTGCCTCTGGAATCAGTCCTCTATCCCAGGAGCCCTGGTTCCTTAATAGTAGAAAATAAAATTTAGGAGCCAAGCTAGGTCTGCTTATTGCTGTTGGGTTGTTGCTAACCACAGGCCTCTCAATGGGCAGAACTAGGGAACGTTTGTGTGTATGCGCATATACACACACGCATCTACATTTATTTCAGTATCTTGAAACTGAGTTCAAACTGACACCTTCAATTCCGATACAGCACCTCGGGGTTCACTCTAGTTTTGTCTCTTCCATATTGGTGACTCCCGTCATCCCTAGGATGTCAATAAATATTAACATTATTACATTAATTATATTATATATAAGATATAATATGTATAATAGATAATATAAAAATATTATACATATTAATATTACCATTAATGTTTAATATTTCAGTCCTTTCCTGTGAGCAGCCTGTCTCCCTTGCAACCCCTCCCTGCACGGATGCCCTTTGCACCCTGCTTGCCAACAGACACCCCAGTTTGGGATCCCACACGCCCTCCCTAACTCAGGTGCCTGCTCTGCCCTTTCCCTGCTAAGTGGTTTTAAGTCTGAAATGTTGGGAAGCGAAGTGGACTTTTTTGACACTGTTTTCTGGAGGTGTCGGTTCAGCTGAAAGCCAGTGTTTGAGAGCAGAGGTTTCAGAGTTACACCCCTGCTTTCCTCTTCCTGCTTCCCCGCTTCTCCGTCTCATGAACTTGGGCAAGTGACTTAACCTCTCTGAGCCTCAGTTGTTTTTTCCTAAGACAGCGTTTTACTCTGTTGCAGTGCTGTGGCGCAATCTTGGCTCACTGCAACCTCCGCCTCCCTGGTTCAAGCGATTCTCGTGCCTCAGTCTCCCAAGTAGCTGGGATTACAGGCATGTGCCACCCCACTCAGCTAATTGAGCCTCAGTTTTCGTATGTATAAAACACTGAGAGATGGACACTGAGGAGTAAAGGCGTTAACATGCCTGATGTACTTAGCATGGCACTCAACAAAGATGTTATTGGTATTAGAGGCATTGATGCCCACTGTTTTCTGGGCACTGAGAGGGATCCTGGGACAGAGAAGCCATAGCCTTAGCTCTCCAGACACTCTAGGTGATGTGGGGAACTTAGCTGCTGTTGTGTTGTTTGAAGCATTCAGTTGCCAGTAAGACCTGACCTGACCTCCAGGTGGCTTTAACTCATGTGCAGCACTGATGCCGTGAGTCTGTCAGGATCACTCTGTGTGTGGGGAGTGCTCAGTGTGCCCAGGGCACAGAGATTACCAGGGTGAGTTACTCTTGGAATACTGGCTTCAGAGAGGGGCACAGCTTGGCCAGTGTATCCACCAGCACTTACACTGAATCTACTGTATGTCAAGCACAGAGGAAGATTTTAAAAGTATGTGTATTCTGGCCCTCACGTCCCATTGGAAGTTAAAATATACTGGCAGGAAGATGGCTTCACCACTAGTTCGTAAATAAATGGGTCAGGGAACATTATTTGGAAATCGAGGGACTTGGGTTCCTATCACTAAGAACGGTCTTTCCTCGGTATCTGAGGGAGTTGGTTCCAGGATCCCCCTTTGCCGAGGATAACAAAATCCGTGGATGCTCAAGCAACCGCAGAACCCTCTAATTCCAAGAGTTCAGCATCCCTCAAATACTGTATTTTCTATCTGCAGTTGGTTGAATGCACTGATGAGGAACCCGTGGATACAGAGGACCAACTGTATGTGACCTTGAGCAAGTAACTTAACCCCTAAGCCTAAGTGTTTTCACCTGCACAGTGAGAGGAGGCGCTAGAAGATGTTGAAAGGGAGGAGCTATAGCTTGCAGTGAGGGCCACAAGAGAAGGCTTCCTGGAGAATACTAGAATACAGAATACTGGAAGACAGGCTTGATGTGGGGAGGCAGATGGGAGGAAGGAGGCCATGAGCTGAGAACCCAGTAGACTTTAATGGGACAGTGTTACAGCTGGGGATAGAGCAGAGGATGTGTCGAGTGGAGAACAGGAGAAATAGTGCAAGAGGTAATACAAGAAGGGTTTTTATTTTAAAGTATGTTTTCTAACTATATTCTAAGCCCCTGAGGTCAGGGAATAGCAGATGAATGAAATTTAGGTTAACAACATATAATGGCTAATCGTGGCAACCATAGAGATTTAGCATAAGAAATTTGGACTGTAATCAATAGATGATGTCACATGGCTGAAGTTCTGGGGCTGTGAAAGAATGTCATGAGAGCAGTGGTTAGGGGCTGTGTGGAGTGGGTGAGAGGCGGTATCAGGGGGGTTGGGGGGGTGTCCTCGTCCAGATTCTTCTCACCAGGCCAAAAGCTTCTGGAGCTCTGCTGTCCTAATCATAGCTGATAGCCTCGTGCTGCTAATTCAGCTTACATTTAAGTTAATTAAAATGAAATAAAATGACCAACCCAGTTTATTGGTCACACTTACTGCATCTTAAATGTTTAGTTGACACATCTGGCCAGTGGCTCCATACTAGACAGCATGGGTAGAGAACACACGTGAATGTTCTCAGTAGCCCTGGCCTGCTGGGACGTTCCAAATATGCGGCGCAGAGCTGGGCACACAGTGGGGCTGGGGGGACGTCGCCTGGCTCATGGGGGTGAGGAGGGCCAGAACTGGGGTGGTGCCCAAGAGACCTGGAAGGAGGGGCCCCTGACAAAGTCAGGACTCAGTGACTAACGACTGTGGGATGGAGCTGCATACCAAAGACAGGGCTGAGAACCTGGGATCCTTGGTATGATCTCTTCTCGGAATTTTTGAGCTGTCTCAGAAACATTTCCTTCGGGTGCCTGTTATTTCTGGCGCGCTCGGGTGTCTTTGCTGCCATAGCATTTCCCTTCACAGTGCAGCCTTTATACCTTCTGCCCTCTCGAAGGGGGCTTAGATCCTGGTGGAGCAGATGCTTGGAGGAAGATGCATTAGCTCTAGCATCCATGGGGCCTGAGGGCTCTTGGGGTCATCAGGGAACCATCTTAAGATTTGTTCAACCAAGCCAAGACACATCACTTGCTGTCTTTATTTAGGGAGGAAAAAAAAAATCTCGCTTTTGTGAGCTCGCTGTTGGGTTCAGCTGCTTGCTGCTACCCGTTGGTTTGAAGGAGAGCTGTGTAACTGGCTCAGAGAACGTGTCTTACTGTCTGAAATACTTTTGGACATTCCTTCTCTCTGAGAGAAGCCTACGCCTTCTAGCCAAACAATACATGTCCCAGCAGCAAAGATATTTGTAATGAGCCCTGCCAGCATTTCTTGTCTGTGACCCTTTTCCCTAAGTATAATGCTCTGCAGCGCTGGAATTTTTCTATGCTCAGCAATATGTGTTTGGGGGGTACAGTTTGGGAGCTCCGGTTGACAGGTGTGTTCCTAGAGTTATTTGTTTTCTTAGGTTCTGAAGAATGATGTTTGGAATGAGGCCCTGCCATGTTGCACTGCAAGGCACACAGTGAAGAAGAACCAGACCTTGGCCCAGCTCAGGGTCTTTGTGACCTTTAAACACGAGTCCAAATGAGGGAAGAACCTGTGGGAAAACCTTGTAAAGAATTTCCCATCCCACCTGTTGTCTTCAGCTAATCTCTCTCCAAATAGTGAATCTTCCATCTCCTTTACGTCTTTATCATCTTCACTTTGCTAGGTCTGGGTTCTGAATCCGTCCAGTGCCTCACTGAGCACTCTCAGTCTTGATCAGCTTTCCACGTTGCTGCTATTGCTGCTGGTCTGATGTTTCTGCTCTCTGACCTATGGATTCTTCAGGAAGAGTGCCGAACTTTCTCAGCCCCATTCTGCCTCTTATTAGCCAAATGACCACAGACAAGTCATTTATCTTCTCCCAGTCTTGGCTGTTTCTTTTCATTTCTTCCTTTTTTCTTTTTTTTGAGACATCTTCCTCTGTCGCCTAGGCTGGAGTGCAATAGTGCCATCTCAACTCACTGCAACCTCTGTCTCCTGGGCTCAAGTGGTCCTCCCACCTCAGCCTCCCAAATAACTGGGACTGCATGTGCATACCACCACACCCAGTTAATTTTTGTATTTTTTGTAGAGACAGGGTTTTGCCATGTTGCCCAGGCTGGGGTTGTTTCATCAGAGGAATGGGATTGTAAAAATTAAGTTGAAAATGTAGGGACAAACTCTCTGTAAACTAGAAAGCATCATTTAGATTGAAGCTATTATTTACTTACTTAAAACAATATACACTGATTGTATTAGTATACCAGACATTCAGGTGCTGAGAATTTGTAATGTTGACAGTGCGATGGCTCAACCATAAGGACGAGGTTTGTTTCTTAGCTTTGGACATTCTGAAACTTGAAATTGTGAGTTCACTCAGGGATGACCAAGTTCTGAGAAACCAGTTACACTAACCAAACTTAAAAGGAACTGATGTAGAAAGCAGGTGTCTCATGCCTGTCATCTCAGCAGTTTAGGAGGCCAAGGCGGGACAATCGCTTGAGCCCAGGAGTTGGAGACCAGCCTGGGCAACGTAGCGAGACCCCATGTCTGTTCTAGACAACAAAGGTCTGATCTGTTTTTGCTATCGCTGTCATCATTTCATATTGTCGTGATGCAGCGTCTCCTTTAGAGGACAAGCAGAACATTCGAGTCTCTTAAAGTGTGTAGTAGAAGACTAGTGTCTGTTTTACTGCTTCCAAAGAGAGTATTATTTTGTTTTTGACTCTAGCATGACCTCCCTTCATTGCACCTAATCGCGTCACCCACCTTCTGAGAGCACTATGCCTTTTTGTTGGTATTATCTTTTACCAGCAGAAAACATTGATGTGTACCTTTGTGAGAGGTATCTCTATGAAGCCCATGGAGAAGCCTGTTTTCTCTTTGTTTTCTGATGTTATTTATTGGTTTGTTTATTTTTGAGACAGATTCTCACTCTGTCACCCAGGCTGGAATGCAATGGGGACTCCAGGATCACAATCTTTGCTCACTGCAGCCTCGACTTCTGGGCTTCAAGTGATTCTCATGCCTCAACCTCCCGAGTGGCTCAGATTACAGGCATGTACCACCACACCCGGCTGGATTTTGTATTTTTAGTAGAGACTAGTTTTCATCATGTCTTGATCCATCCACATCAGCCTCCCAAAGTGCCGGGATTACAGATGTGAGCCACCACGTCTGGCCATGATGTTATTTGAGTCTGAGGTTTTAAAAACTTGGCTGTGCGTCAGAAGCACCCCCTGGAACTTTTTGGAGATGAGGTCTGTCTCATAGGCTAGAGTGCAGTGGCATGGTCACAGTTCACTGTAGCGTTGACCTCACCAGCCTCCAGTGATTCTCCCATCTCAGCCTCCTGAGCAGCTGGGACTACAGGCATACACCACCACGTCTGGCTAATTTTATTTTTATTTTTTCTAGAGATAATCTCTTGTTATGTTGCCCAGGTTAATTGAACTCCATGGCTCAAGTGATCCTCCCACTTTGACCTCCCAAAGTGCTGTGATTACAGACCATACCCAGCTTCCTGGAACTTTTAAAAAGTGGAGGTCCAGGGCTCATCACAGACCTTCCAAATTAGACAGCTGAGGCTGGACCTGGGCATTGAACGTGTTTCAGAAGTTTGATAGGTTGTTTCAATGTATGACCAAAGTTGGAATTCAGGGGCATTTGGATGATACTGTATGCTGTGATGTTTCTATACCTACTATTTTTGTTCTTCCAGAAGTGTTGTTTCTGCGCAGCAGAGCAGACACCCAGATCACCAGCACATATACCCATTCCTTAAAGAGAGTGGCTGTCTTTGCCTTTATCAGTGCTTGGGCTGGCTTGACTTAGCCCGGTGCTCCATACCCTGCAAATGTTTGGCTGTTTGGATGAATGAACAGAATGCTGTAAGAGAATGTCAGAACATATATGGTAGAATGTAAATTGGAACCCGGAACTATTAATTCCCAGACCATTATTTTTACTTTTTTTTCTCCCAAGGCAGTGTCTCGCCCTCTTGCCCACGCTAGAGTGCAGTGGTGTGACTTGGCTCACAGCAGCCTCTGCCTCCTGGGTTCAAGCTATTCTCTGGCTCAGCCTCCTGAGTAGCAGGGATTACAGGCATGCACCACCATACCTGGCTAATTTTTATATTTTAGTAGAGACGGGGTTTCGCCACGTTGACCATGCTGGTCTTGAACTCCTGACCTTAAGGGATCCGCCCACCTCAGCCTCCCAAAGTGCTGGGATTACAGGTATGAGCCACCATGCCCAGCCAGTTTTTACTTTTCTTAAACCTTGAAGTGCACCAGTCACCATGGGAGTTGTCCATGCTATCACTGGAGATTCTGTTTTAGAATCATTGATGGGCTTCCTTCATCTGTCATGGAGAAAATACCTCACCCTGCAGACCTGCTAGAATTTGATGACATGGAACAACTAAGTACCTCGTACAGCCTTGCCGCTTGGGAGATGCTTGGTAAATAATAGTCCTGTTGATGAGAAACCTGCCTTAAAAGCAACTTCTTGGTCAGCGTGGCTGTGCTGCTTACAGAACTCCTGAGCCTCTCCATGCAGTACAGAAGGACTAAAGGATGTGTCCTGTCCCTCCAACTGTGACAGCAGTGGGTAGGGTAAGGCCGTGGGTCCCCCGCCCCCCTGATTTCTGCTTGGGCAGGCAGAAGAACCCTGGCACAGTCTCATCTTCCTGGAGTTGTGTTTCCTTGAATGGTTCCTTCCCTCTTTCCCACGCATGATGCATTCACACGTTGGGAAGAAGGCGTGAAGATGTGATCCACATCTGACTCCTCAGTGCTTTAGTGACTTTGCCGTTAGGCACCTGGGCAGGTATGAGTGGAGGTGACAGTGGCATAATGGCTCTGATTTTCACCCTGGTTGAGTAGAACAGCATTCCAGGGGTGAAGCAGGTGGGCGTGGGGCAGATAGATGTGAGTCCAGCCCCCTCTTGTAGAGATACATGCTCCTTGGCAAGCTGCAAAATCAGAATCACGGTAATGTGTGTTTCACTTAATCCTCAGGGAGGATCACTTGGTCACTTGTGAGCTGAGGGAAGAGAAGCCCCTACTCAGTGCTGCTTCCTTCAGGAATTGTTTCCGAAGTCACCAGATAAATGCTGTCTCCTCCCTCTTGTAAACCCTGGCTGAGCCCCTTTTTTAGGGTACTTACTCCATTCTCTCCTGCATCGTGGTTACTCACATCCTGAATTTATTTCTCTTGCTGAAAGAAGTGCTTAAAACCCAGCTCTTGGCTGGCTTGTGCCTGGAGAGTTTGGGATCACGCCTCCACCCTTCAGGACCTTTGCAGCCTGACTTGCCCTGGGCACCGTGCGCATCCCAGAGCTCCTCATCAGTATGCATGTGGTCCCCTCTACCTGGCGTGTCCCCTCAGGTAGCTGTTAGCACGACTGAGGATTTTCAGACTATAACAGTGTTTTAGCACTCAGAATAACTAACTGCGGCAGCTGCCCACGTCACCGTCACTGTTGGGTGAATGGATGCTGATTTGAAAGAAAGAGTCATCCTTTAGAATGTTGATTTGAATCGGAAGGGGGTCTTGTTGCTTGGGGTTGGTTCCTTGGGGGCAGCTGTTTGCCCTCACAATGCTGAACGCACACCCTGGCGCTTGTTTCTCGAGCCCACAGAAAAGCCCGTAGGAGTGCAGTGATTAGAGGAACCTCAGCTGTTTTGCTGAATGGCCCTCTTTCATCAGGATGTGCTGGGACAAGGGCCTTTTTCAGCCAAAATATCAGAGAAAGACAAGAGTTCCACAAGAGCCATTTACTCTTCGGGTGGGACTCCGGGGAGGAGTCGGCTCCCCAGCTCTCGTGGAAGCACTCGGTAGCCTCCTGGCCTTTCCTGATCTCCGTAGGGAGCAGATGGCCAGAGCTCCAAGGGCAGTTGTAGGGGGCGTTAGAGATATGAGCACTGCAGCCACGAACTTCTTTTATTTTACCGACTTCTGCATCTTCCTTCGGCCAACCCACTACTTCTGCTGTCCAGAGGTTTCCAGCTCAAATTAGTACGTATGACCACCTTGATTTCTGTTCTCCTGCCATGGCTCGGTTTCTGGATGACACTGGCTGTTTATATTCTGGGGCTTGGGGTTTTTTGAGGAGTATTGATTGAGGTTTTTGTCTGTCTTCAGTGCTTTGGAGAAACTTTAATCTTAGGAAGCTTCCCGAATGGCAGTAATCAGTATCCGAGAACAGATCGGTGTGGTAGAGATAAAAGCATTGTGGGTGGCGGGTAGAGAGGGCAGTGACTGTTTTTATCCCTCATCAAGAATTTTCTTACAGCAGTGGAGGAAGACATTTCCGTTGTGTCTGCCTGTGTCTGACCTTCTGTAACTTCAGTCACTCCTTTGAGGACACACAGATCTTTTGTGAGAAGGCTGATGTCTGCGTGGCTGGGATGGATAGCTTGTGGGTTTGGGCTTCCTGGCCCTGGGCACCTAGTAAAGTGAGTGTGCCATCACCAATGTGGATTTCTTCACGGGCTTCCCCAGTGGAGCACTTTGAGGGTCTGATGAATCGGGAGCCTGTGTCTCTCGGTGTCAGAAGCCGTGGCCGTTAGAAATAGCGTGCAGATCAGCCATGCAGAGGGCACGTGAGGCTCTGGGCCCAGAGTGAGCTCAGAAGTGAAGCCGGGAAGCCAGGTCACAGAGACTTTCTGCATCTTGTTTTCATAAATCCTGTGACTGACCATGCTCTGCGGCCTCCCACCCCACCCCCTGAGAGTTGTGTCGTGCGGTTTCCTCTGGCTGTGTCCCTTACTGTATTTGCAGCACACAGGGTGATCTCAACAGCCTCAGGATAATGCGCTGCTTCTCGGGCTTCCCTGCAGCTTCCAGTCTTGGCTTTTTATAGTAAATGCCTGTTACTGATTGTTGTGGGCGAACAGAGTGTTCCAGGCAGAGTGTTCCAGGGCCCCAATCAATTCTGACCCCCGACTTCATGCGTAGAGCAGGAGGCCCTGATTTTTATCAGTGTAGGAACACTGAGGAGGAACAGCCAGCCTTGTCAGTGGTCACAGAGCAAAACCAGCCTAGCCTTTTGCATTGTTCCTTTTTTTTTTTTTTTTCCAAAGGAAATGTAAGGGAAACCAAGGGGAATTTTTGCCCATGGTTTCCAAGGCAAAGGTCATGGTTAATGGTTGGCTCTTTCCAGAGTGCTTGGATTTCTGGTCAGTATGAATTTTTTTTTTAATCTCATGAACAAAAGCAGTTGATGTCTCAAAAAGATCTCCCCATCTGCTTTGATGAACTAATGGTTGTTTTAGGTTTCATGAGTTTGGAGCCTCTTGCACAGCTCTTTCACATTGTAATGAGAATAAATAGTAAGTGATCTGTGTCTAAGAACAGTTCTGAAAACATGACTTGGCTGCAGAATTCTAAGGAAGGAGAAAGTGACAAGCTTTATGGGTGGAAAGGGTTAGGTGATTCTGCAGCCTGTGAAATGAGACCGCCTGGGTCTTAATCGGCCAGATGATGGATGCTAAAGTGCTTTTGCTTCCTGTGAGTGAGGATGAGACAGCAAAGAAAGGCTGCTTCTCATTTATTTCATTATTTATAATCCTGGGCTCCTCAACACTTGAACCTTGCAGCAGAAATATATGACTGTGAAAGGGAGGAAAAGATGACTCGGCAGTGCGTCTGCAATAGCAGGTGAAATGCTGTCACATGTCAAGTGTTGGTATTACAAGGCATAGAAAACCGATTGTCTGGAATTCAAAGGACTGAACAAGAGAGGCAGAACTAAGTCTTCTTATTTAATATTTGAGCAGTCACTATTTTTAGCATGAGCGTTTAACCAGAAAAACTAACAGATTTTATTGTGGACTTAATATCATACAACATAACAGTTTTCCTGATTTCAGGAGCTGTTGATTGGAAATGCTAGTTTATGTGGCGTTTTCTTGGCACCTGGTGTCATACTTTAGGCTTTGCTGAGTTTGTTATTCCAGAATACAAATATTTAACTATGAATATCTGATGTCTGGGGCAAAGGTGATTGTAGAAAATATCCTTCCTTTCTGTCAGAAATTGATTTGCTTAATTTCAAGGTTCTCTTTAATTAGAAGAGTGCTTTTTCGTAGGGACTTTTTCCTTCAAATCATGTATATATTAATTGGTTGTTCAAGAGAGATATTTTTATAGTTGCCTACAGTTTGAACTGTGACCTTGTTTCACATTGAGAGTAGTATGTTCCTTTCTAAGTTACAAAGTGTAGTATGTGTTTTATATTATTGTTTTTATATTATCTTGAGAATCAAACAAAAATAGATGTTTTAAAAAGTTAATATATGCTTAATATAGAACATTTGGAAAATACTGAATAGAAGATAATCTATTCCCCTTTCTCCCCAACTCCCTGCAAAGCCGTTGTTAATAATTTTGGTGTATTTTGCCAGGGTGTGGTGGCTCCTGCCTGTAATCCCAGCGCTTTAGGAGGTCTAGGCGGGCAGATCACTTGAGGTCAGGAGTTTGAGATCAGCCTGGCCAACATGGTGAAACCCCATATCTACTAAAAATAAAAAATTAGCCAGGTATGGTGGTATGTGCCTGTAGTCCCAGCTACTCGGGAGGCTGAGGCAGGACAATCGCTTGAACCTGGGAGGCAGAGGTTGCAGTGAGTTGAGATTGTGACACTGCACCAACCTGGGTGACAGAGTGAGACTTGGTCCCCACCCCTCAAAAAATTGGTGTATTTTATGCATAATTTTGAGAGTTGATGGTATTTTTGAAAAATTGATAATTCATAGCTGAGGCATTCTTTTTTTAATGTCTTAATTCTGCAAAAGCTAAACTTGATAGCCAAGTCATGGTGTACAACAGGATCTTACAGTGTTGCCCAGGCTGATCTTGAACTCCTCAACTTAAATGATCCTCCCACCTCAGCCTCCCAAATACAAATTTTTTAATTGTAATTTTTAAATTTGTAGGTTAGATATAAATGTTACTGCTAGCTAAAATAACAAAGGCCAAAAAGATCCATTCTGCTGAGAAATTCATTGGGTCAACTTGAGGTTTTCTGCAAGAATAGTGGGAAGGGCAACCTTGACTAAGTTAAATCACAGGTCAGTAGCCACCTACTTCTTTTCTTTTCTTTTCTTTTTTTTTTTTTTTTTTCCGAGACAGGGTCTTGCTCTGTCACCCAGGCTGGAGTGCAGTGGCTTGATCTTGGCTCACTGCAACCTCCGTCTCTCAGGTTCAAGCGATTCTTGTGCCTCAGCCTTCCAAATAGCTGGGGCTACAGGCGCCACTACACCTGACTAATTTTTGTGTTTTTAGTGGAGATGGGCTTTTACCATGTTGGCCAGGCTGGTCTCCCGACCTGAAGTGATTCGCCCACCTCAGCATCCCAAAGTGTTGCAATTACAGGCTTGAGCCACCCTGGCTGTCTTTACTTTTCTTAAAATGCAAACATCTAATCAAAGTATAATTTCATCTTGTAGACCATCAAGGGAAGTCACCAAGAAACAATGGAGTTGTTAAAAGCCAGAGAGTTAGAAGTAGAGATCAACAGCAAGAGCATGAGAATTCATAAAGTAGTCCACCCTCTTCTAATCAGGGAGTTGTTCACTAAGAAAATGCTGTGGCTGGGCATGGTGGCTTGAGACTGTAATCCTGGCACTCTGGGAGGCTGAAGCAGGCGGATCACGTGAGGTCAGGAGTTTGAGACCAGCCTGGCCAACATGGTAAAACCACATGTCTACTAATAATACAAGAATTAGCTAGGCATGGTGGCACATACCTATAATCCTAGCTGCTGGGGAGGCTGAGACATGAGAATCGCTTGAACCCAGGAGGCAGAGGTTGCAGTGAGTCGAGAACACACCACTGCACTCCATCCTAGATGACAGAGTGAAACTGTGTCTTAAAAAAAAAAAAAAAGAAGGCCGGGCGCGGTGGCTCAAGCCTGTAGTCCCAGCACTTTGGGAGGCCGAGGCGGGTGGATCACGAGGTCGGCAGATCGAGACCATCCTGGTCAACATGGTGAAACCCCGTCTCTACTAAAAATTACAAAAAATTAGCTGGGCACGGTGGCGCGTGCCTGTAATCCCAGCTACTCAGGAGGCTGAGGCAGGAGAATTGCCTGAACCCAGGGGGCGGAGGTTGCGGTGAGCCGAGATCGCGCCATTGCACTCCAGCCTGGGTAACAAGAGCGAAACTCCGTTTCAAAAAAAAGAAGAAGAAGAAGAAGAAGAAGGAGGAGGAGGAGGAGGAGGAGGAGGAGGAGGAGGAGGAGGAGGAGGAGGAGGAGGAGGAGGAGGAGGAGGAGGAGGGGGAGGAGGAGGAGGAGGAGGAGGAGGAGGAGGAGGAGGAGGAGGAGGAGGAGGAGGAGGAGGAGGAGGAGGAAAATGTTATAGGAGGAGGAGGAGGAGGAGGAGGAGGAGGAGGAGGAGGAGGAAGAAAATGTTATAGGAGGAGGAGGAGGAGGAGGAGGAGGAGGAAGAAAATGTTGGAGGAGGAGGAGGAGGAGGAGGAGGAGGAGGAGGAGGAGGAGGAGGAAGAAAATGTTATAGGAGGAGGAGGAGGAGGAGGAGGAGGAGGAGGAGGAGGAGGAGGAGTAGGAGGAGGAGGAGGAGGAGGAGGAGGAGGAGGAGGAGGAGGAGGAGGAGGAGGAGGAGGAGGAGGAGGAGGAGGAGGAGGAGGAGGAGGAGGAGGAGGAGGAGGAGGAGGAAAATGTTATATTACAGTGAGATCCCTGTCCAGTATTCTGCAGAAAGGGGCCTGTGCCCCTGAGAGAGCCTACATAGAACTTTGGGTATTAACACACAAGCATTATTTTGTCAAAAAAATTCTCCGGTAGCAAGCTTTTAGCAAAAGCAAGGTTTGGGAAGAGAACTTTATGGAATTATTATAAAAGCAGTTTCATCCTATTTGCATTTTACATGCCATTTGTCCATGCAAAAGCTTTTTCTCCTGCAGTAAGTCTTTGCTCGTTTTCCTCTCTGAATTCCAGTCTAACTGTGCTCTTGTCTTATCCTTCCCAGCTTAAGCGAGAGCTTTTTCATGGTGAAAGGTGCAGCCCTCTTCTTACAACAGGGAAGCAGCCCTCAAGGCCAGCGGAGTCTTCAACACCCCCACAAGCATGCAGGTGAGGGCTCTCAGTTAATACTCTTAAATTGGAACTGCTTTTCTGGACAGCAGAGGAAACTTCCATTGTTGGTGATGTTGCTGAGTTTGAAGGCCTAAGAAATGGTGGAGAACACAGGTTTGCAATGACCAGTGCAGGCAGAGGCTCAGATGCTCTTTCTTGAGCAGGCCATGCCTGTTTTCCAGCCTTTTAAGTCATGTCTGTTTGTGTCAGGAGTAAGGTAGTCAGCAGCAACCAGCTGGGATACAAAGATTTCCTTTCTGTAGTTTATCAGTTAACGCAAGCTGTAAGTTACAGTCTGACTTTTTAACAAATGCACCAAAATGAATTATAGCCAGATGTCGTCCACTTGAAAATAACCATCTGGAGTACTATATACCTAGGCTTGGGATGGATTTCTCCAAGCATTTGGAAAACACTCATTTGGAGATTTCTTGAAGGGCCTTTGGCTCCAACTCTGAGATAGATGCTATAGTGGGAAGTCTTGATTCTATCATTGTTTTTAGGAAGTGGATAGAAGTAATAGAGTGAGGATCAAACTGAGTTTAGAAAGAAATGCCTACTAAGTGATAAGACTGGTTTTAGGAGACTTCACTCAAAACTGAAGGCAATTTGAAAAGAAGAATTCAAAAAATGCTTATATGGCCCTGCATGGTGGCTCACACCTGCAGTCCCAGTGCTTTGGGAGGATTCCTTGAGCCCAGGAGTTTGAGGCTGCAGTGAGCTACTATCACACCACTGTACTCCAATCTGGGTGACAGAGACAGACTCTGTTTCTTTTTCTTTTTCTTTTTTTTTTTCTTTTTTGAGACAGAGTCTTGCTCTGTCGCCAGGCTGGAGTGCAGTGGCACAATCTTGGCTCACCACAGCCTCCACCTGCCTCCCGGGTTTAAGTGATTCTCCTGCCTCAGCTTCCTGAGTAGCTGGAACTACAGGCACGCGCCAGCTTGCCCAGCTAATTTTTGTATTTTAGAAGAGACAGGGTTTCACTATGTTGGTCAGGATGGTGTCAATCTCTTGACCTTGAGATCTGCCCGCCTCAGCCTCCCAAAGTGTTGGGATTACAGGCGTGAGCCACCGCGCCCTGCCAGAGACCCTGTTTCTTAAAAACAGTAACAAAAAACACTTGTGGCCAGGGACAGCGGCTCTTGCCTGTAATTCTATCACTTTGGGAGGCCAACGTGGGCAGATTGCTTGAGCCCAGGGGTTCCAGACCAGCCTGAACAATACAGTGAAACTCTATCTCTGCAGAAAAATACAAAAATTAGCTGGGCATGCTGGCACATGCCTGTAATCCCAGCAAGATGGGGGCGGTGGCAGGGGGCGCTGAGGTGGGAAAATTGCTTGACCCCAAGAGGTCAAGGCTGCAATGAGCCATGATTGTGCCACTGCATTCCAGCTTGGATGACAAAGCAAGACCCTATCTCAAAAAAAAGAAAAAAAACAGAAAGAAAAAAAAATGCTTGCATACAAATGAATCTTTGTCGTAGGTGGACAGCATCTCAGGGCATTTCTTGGAGAGGCAGAGCATAATTGAATGTCTGTGAGCTGGGAAGGCCTCTACCTTTCAGTACAGCAGCAGGTGAAACCAACCAGCCACTGTGGCCAGTTTTCTTGTTACCTGTGATCATTTTGTTTGTTTAACCTCAAGTCATTCAGCTTCATTTTAGATCTGAGTGCTCAGGTTAGAAGTCTACACCATGTAATGTGTAGCAAACGCCAAGGCTCAGTCAGTATTTTCACAGACCAATATATGATCATCAATATTTAGGTCCGTTTCAAGCGGAGAAAATAACTGTCCTGTACAAGGAGGCGGTGCAGTTTGTGGAAATAGTATTTCTTTTGAAGCCAGGTAGACCTGTCCTCTGGTCCTAGTTCAACTTACTGAGCCATCAAAAGTCAACTTCTAAGCCTCAGTTTCCTAGTCTTTACAATGGGCATCAAATACCGGTACCTCAGACAATATAGAAATTTAGAGTTACCTGTGTAACATACCTACTTAGTAGGTGCTATATCTGTGCGTGTGTGTGTGTGTGTGTGCGTGTATATGTATATATGTGGGTAACTATCATTGTTACTATAATGACTTCTAGTACAATATAGCTATAAACATACCATTCTTTTTTTTCTTTAATTATATAAAATTTTTTTTAGAAACAGGATCTCGTTTGGTCGTCCAGGCTGGCATGCAGTGGCATGATCATAGCTCACTGTAGCCTTGGCTCAAGTGATCTTCCAGCCTCAGCCTCCTGAGTAGCTGGGACCATAGATGTGTGTCACCACACCTGGCTAGTTGTGTGTGTGTGTGTGTGTGTGTGTGTGTGTGTATGTGTGTATGTGTGTGTAGATGAGGTCTCACTATGTTGCTCAGGATGGTCTCCAACTCCTGGCCTCAAGTAATCCTCCCACCTCAGCCTCTCAAAGCATTAGGAGTATAGGTGTGAGGTGCCATACCCAGCCAGATCCTTCATTCTTGAATTTGCTAATGGTTCTGCCTTATTAGAAACGTAGCTGTTGTTCATGTTTTAACTGTAACACATATAACAAAGCAAATGCTCTAGCTCTGCCTGCTAAGTGTCAGTTACCACCTTCCTCTAATCCAAAGACTGGAAGGGTAGGATGCAAGCCCCCAGCTGGCTGACTCTTGTGCCCTGAGATCTGGAATGTACGATGAGGTCAGAAGGCAGAGGGGCCACCAGCTGTCCATAGGCGGTCTGTAAATGACCTTGGGACAGGCACAGACTAGACTTTAGTTCCTTTTTTTCCCTAGAATTACCATCAAGTTTCCTGAATGTACCAGAGTGCCCCCAGTAACACAGTGCAGAGCTGAGTACAACTGAGAGTTAATTCTGTCCATGGAAAAGTAGTCCAGTTTGTTTCAGCCAGTCCAGTCAATTTGAGACCCTTTCTAGGGCTTATATTTTTTGTGTGTGGATGTCAGACTGGGGTTTGGATTTCTGTCTGTCAGCAGTTCCATATCTCAGCAAACAATCCCACTGAAAGAAGTTTATCTGTGTGGAAAATGTCCCTTTCATTTAGGCATTTATCAGGCAGGGGTTTATTTTTGCTTTCCTCAATACAGTTCTGTGACTCGGGTAGGTGGTGGGAGGGCCCAGGCAGGTGAAGAACTGGCTCATGGTCTTGTGTTGCATTGGTGACATGATGGGTGGAAGAAGGGGGTGGGGAGCTCTATGACTTTCTTTAATCACCAAATTATCTCCAAATCACTCATCATAGGAAGCAGGGCCAACATAGGATGTTATACACCGTGGAATTGTATGACTGGAGAGCATAGATAAGAGGAGCGTGGTTCTTTTCATTTTAAAATTTTATTTATTGTGGAAAGAATGTTTCATTGGGCCAGCTTAAGTGGCTCATGCCTATAAGCCCAGCATTTTGGGAGGCTGAGATGGGAGGATCATTTGAGTCCAGGAGCTCAAGACCAGCCTGGGCCACATGACAAAACCCTATCTCTATTGAAAAAGAAAAAGAAAGAACGTTTAACATGGCATCTACTCTCCTGACTAGAGGCACAAGATTCTAATGACCCAATTCCTCTCTGAGGCAGGAAGTGCAATTTGGATATCATGTGTCATTCTCCCTTAAAATGAAAAAAGATGCGTTTGCAAAAAGGAACAAACAGAATATTTTCTTTTGGAGCATTTGAGTGTGTAAGCATCATCGGTCCTTTTGGGGCTCTGATTGTGGTATGTAGGATAAATTGTTTTCCTTTGTAGAGACAGGGTCTCATCATATTGCCCAGCTGGTCTCAAACATCCGGGCTCCAGCAATCCTCCTGCCTTGGCCTCCCAAGTAGCTGGGACTACAGATGTGAACCAGAAAGCCCAGCTAAGTTTTTACTTTTCTGTAGAGACAAGATATTGCTATGTTGCTCAGGCTAGTCTTGAATGCTGGCCTCAAGTGACTCTCCGGCCTCGGTCTCCCAAAGCACTGGCATTACAGGTATGAGATACCACACCAGGCTGATATTAGGGTCTTTACAGATGAATCTTTCTTCAGAAAGAAATCCTTGCAAATATAAAGAAAAATGTATAAGCTGGAGAAAAAAGCAACCTTGGAGTCACATCTGCTACTTATTAATTATCCACCTCCCTTAGAGCTTTCCCCCGCCGTGAAAGTGTACCCTTCTTCTGACAGGGTCTCCTGCTTCACTTGAGACTCATGGCCAGTAAGAGACTTTCCTCACTGCACTCCAGGGACACCTCCTGAACTCTGGGGCAGCTCAGAGAAGTTCAGAAGCCACCCAGGATTACTGTGTGTTTTACATAGTGAAGAAAAAAGAGAGAGTACGTCATTTTTGGCAAGAAAAGAGAAAATGCAGATTGTTGTCTACTCAAATTATTTCTCTGGGCAGCCAGCATACAGCTGCTATCTGTAGAGTCACTTAAACATTTCCCCACCTGGGTATGGAAATAATATCTGCCTCCTGTGGAAAATGCAGAAGTTTGAAGTGGGGACAGGGCAGGGTAGCTCATGCCTGTAATCCCAGCACTTTGGGAGGCCAAAGTAGGCAGATCACTGGAGGTCAGGAGTTCGAGACCAGCCTGGCCAACATAATGAAACCCCGTCTCTACTATAATATACAAAATACTCTACTGTAATCTTTACTATAATCTACTATAGTCTCTACTATAGTCTACTATAATATACAAAAATAAGCCAGGCATGGTGGTGTGCGCCTGTAATCCCAGCTACTTGGGAGGCTGAGGCAGAAGAATCGCTTGAACCCAGGAGGCAGAGGTTGTAGTGAGCCGAGATTGCACCCCAGCCTGGGCGACAATGTAAGACTCTGTCTCAAAAAAAAAAAGAGAAGTTTGAAGAGGAGACATGATGCTCTGTCCTTTTCTCTCATGATCAGCTCTTAGTGAATGCTTCACTTCCAGCCGCAGCTGTCGTTTCCAGGCACCCCAGCCTGCCCAGCAACATTTTGGCTTGAGTGAAATAACATTTTTCTCCAAGCTTACCTGTGTTTTCCACATTTTGTATTTGGAAACCTATATTGTATGTATTTCAGGAAATAAGAGCAACTTTTAACAACGTTACAGTAAACTCTATGTCACCTGTCTGCGTCACACAGTATTCAGGGTGGTGTAAGAGAAATCAAGGCTTTAAGTTCTTGTGATGTTTCTCCTGTGGTGTAGGTAGAGAAATTTTGACTTCTCAGTCTTTTTCCAGGCCCTCAAAATCAGCCTTTCAGAGTTTTTTTTCCTAGAAAGTAGGTAGGAGACCTTTTAAACCTTTCTTTATTGGTCCAACAGGTGACCTGCCTCAGCATCTTCAGGTGATGATCAACCTTCTGCGTTGTGAAGACAGAATCAAGCTGGTAAGAAGCAGTGAGAATGTCAAGTTAAAAAAAATTTTTTTTTTAATTTTAATGAGTTGGGGTCTTTCTCTGTTGTCCAGGCTGGAGTGCAGTGGCGTGATCCTAGCTCACTGAAGCCTCAGACTCCTGGGTTGAAGCAATCCTCCTACCTCAGCCTCCTGGGTAGCTGGGACTACAAGTGTGTGCCACTCTGCCTGGCTAATTTTTTAAAAAATGTTTGTGGATATGGGGTCTTGCTTGTTTGCCCAGGCTCATCTTGAACTCCTGGCCTCAAGTGATTCTCCTGCCTCTGCCTCCCAAAGTCCTGGGGTTATAGGTATAAGCCACCATGCCCAGCCAGCAAGTTTTAATTTTTAATTGTGAAACTTGGTGGGGAACCATCCATGGATGATAGGGGGGAAAGCTTTTACGTTACAACAAATGCTCCCCAAATTGTTTACCAAAGCCGAAGCCAGGTTGACTCCTCAGTACCCCAGAGGGGCCAGAGGAGGGATAAAACAGGTCTTCCGCAGCAGTTGTCCTAAATAAGAACTTTCTTTTAATTTCATTTGTTCACTGATTTCATGCATTTGTGGGTGTCTCCTCTGAGCCAGGCAGTGTCCCTGGTGCTGCAGAGAGAAACAAGGCCTGATTCCTGCTCTCAAGAATTTCCTCTTTGTTTTTTTGTTGTTATTTTTTGAGACAGAATCTCACTTTGTTACCCTGGCTGGAGTGTGGCGGTGTGATCTCAGCTCGCTGCAACCTCTGCCTCCTGGGTTCAAGCAATTCTCATGCCTCAGCCTCCCAAGTAGCTGGGATTACAGGCACACACCACCACACCCATCTAATTGTTGTATTTTTAGTAGAGATGGGGTTTTGCCATATTGGCCAGGCTGATCTCGAACTCCTGACCTCAAGTGATCTGCCTACCTTGGCCTCCCAAAATGCTGGGATTACAGGCCCGAGCCACCATGCCCAGCCAAGAATTTACTCTTTGTTTTTAACTCCCAGAGGGATAGGTAGAACACTGAAAGTGTTGATCTTGCACTGGAGATGGGACAGAGGCACCACCTCCAAAGCAGGCCAGTGAGAGTGTGTCTGTCCTGTTCCAGGCTGTGCGCCTGGAGAGCGCCTGGGCAGACCGGGTCCGGTACATGGTGGTGGTGTACAGCAGCGGGCGCCAGGACACCGAGGAGAATATCTTGCTGGGAGTGGACTTTTCTAGTAAGGAAAGGTGAGTCTGATGGGCTAGGTGTTCACTTCTGTGAGGGGGCAGGAGTTGCTGCTGGAAAAAGGTTTCCATGGTCCCATAGCCATCAGAGGTGGGAGAGGGCTGCATCCTGATGGAACACTAGGGTGTGCCATTTCAATGTGTGCCAGGCACCGTGCCAGCTCCAGGCTATGCTCTCAGAGTACAGAGTCAATTGAGAGGACAGAAAGTTGTGCTTAGAGGTTTCATGCCAGCTACTGTAGAGTGGGTCACCCTAGCCAGGAATGCTTCCTAAAGGAGGTGACAGCAACGCCGAACACAGAAGGCCAAACTGGAGTCAGGGGAAGCAAGGGGACCCTCCTGGACAGAGGGGCCCATGGAGAAGTCTGGAGGTTGTTGGGCTTCGTCCCAGACACCTGACCCCATAGTGATACTCCATGGATTCTCAAGTGCTTCATGGCAGGTTCTAGGTCAGAGGGTTTAAGAGTAGCTTATAATTTCCCACTAACTGGAGGCCAAGGAAGTTATAGCATTGACCCCATGGTGTGTGTAAGATGAGGGTTGAATCACTCCCCAGACATCTCAGATAAATGAATGCCTGCGAGATCATTGCAAAACCTGGATTTGTTAAAACTAGGTTAGGCTCCCTTTATTCATCCTTCTTTCATCAACTCATTCTTTAAGCATATGATTTATTTGCGTTCTCCTGTGTATGAGGCAATGGGCTAGGCCCACGTAAACAAAGAAGCAGCAGTACACACAGTTCTTAGCCTCAGAGAGCTTCTAAGGAAGCAGGAAGATAGTCACAACAACCAGGTAGGAGGGAGACAGTGATTGCAGGAGGGGGCGGCTGTTGAGAGTGCCTGGCAGGGGTGAAGCCTAAACCAAATTTTTTTTTTTTTTTTTCTGAGACGGAGTTTTGCTCTTGTTGCCCAGGCTGGAGTGGTGCAGTGGCTCAATCTTGGCTCACTGCAACCTCCGCCTCCCAGATTCAACCGATTCTCCTGCCTCAGCCTCACAGGTAGCTGAGATTACAGGCATGTGCCACCACGCCCAGCTAATTTTTTTTGTATTTTTAGCAGAGACGAGGTTTCTCCATGTTGGTCACACTGGTCTCAAACTCCTGACCTCAGGTAATCTGCCTTGGTCTCCCAAAATGCTGGGATTACAGGTGTGAGCCACCAGGCCTGGCCCCTAAGCCGAATCTTAATGGGCAAGTGGGCAGTCAGGTGAGCTCCAGGGTGGAGGCAGAGCAGTGAGGTGCATTTGAAGAGTATTTCAGGCAGAAGCAATAGCAGAAACCAGTCAGGGAGGCTATGAGTGTCATGGTAATGGTAGTCTTGCCTTGTTCATGAGAGCTTCTGTAAGTCACATGCTAGCGACCGATACTTTGATGCTTGTTAGAAGGAAATGAATAAAACAGAAAGGACATTTCTTTTGTGACATCCTCCAGCCCTGCAGTGCATAATAAAGAGCACTATGAGAAAGTTTCCTGTGGCACATGTTGGGGATGGAATTGGAGCTGGCATCTGTGGCCTTGGGCTGGTTGGGAATCTGGGCCTAGGAGAACTTGTAGCATAGGAGGTGCTCGGACGTGAGCTGTGAAGAGCCACTTGGAGGCTGGAGGGTGTGGTCCGTTAGGATGGGGTGCCACCAGGCAGGTGCTTTCAGAAATGCCCAGGTGTTTAGTGTTTGACAGTGTTGCGTTTGTAATTGTTCTTCCAGTGACTATCCAGCTTTTCTGAATCTTCCTGGGGCAGGGACCTTCCCTCACAAGTATGGTCTGTTCCAGTAATGCTTTCTGATCCTGAATGGAAATGGCCTCCCGTGGCCCACACCCACTGTCTTGATCAAAACTGTGGGAGCGCTGTAGAAGGGGTTAAGTGAGATGTTCACTTCACCCCCCTGGGGTGGATAGTCCTGCCTCAGATTTTACACACGAGAGTCAGAGCTCATAAGGCTGCAGTGATTACCCCAGGGTCATCCCAGTAAGTGGCCGGGCTGGGACTCAGAGGCAGGGCTTTTCCTGTGACCTGTTAAATGAGCAGATGCCACTCATTCTTTCCCAGTGGGCTCTAGCTCTCTCCTCTACACTGCCTTGCTCATTCATTCACTCCTAGGTGTATCATGCATGGACTTGTTAGCTCTTTCCCTGTGCCGGGTGCCCCGCTAGTTGCTGGGGCCACATCAGGGAGCGTGGCAGACACACCTGCACTCTCGCAGAGCTCATAGGCCAGCAGTCATGGGTGTACCTTAGACGCACACACGTGTATTCCCTTTCTGCTGTTGCCAGCTGGAAGAGACGGGCCTGTGCACTCGCCGGCACTGACTCCAAGATGCCCTTTTCCCCTGCCCTCTCCTCCCTTTGCCGCCCCCTCTCGGCACCACCACTTCGGTTCTTGCAGGCCCCTCTCCCTGTGGTTCCCTTGCCTCTGCTTCACACTCTTCCCTCAGGTTTGAATCCCTGCACCCTCTGAGCAGGAGCCACGGCCCACGTGTGGGCACCGACCCCAAGGCCAGGGCAGGTCTCTGAGGTTGGAGAGGGTGGTCGAGAGGCCATCCAAAGTGAGCAGGGGCCTGATGGGAACCAGAGCTAAGCCGTCCTTTCTGTCACTGGGCCCGATGCAGCTGCCCTCTGTGCCTGGGTAATCCCGGGGGCCGGGAACTGGGCCTTCTCCTGCAGCTCCCACACTGCCCGGGCGCCAGGCTGTTGTCTTCTTTCCTAGCTTGGAAACAAAGTCCAGGTCCCCACCAGACACCTTTGGCCTGCTGAGGGTGCAGTATACTTGTTTCTTCTAAACTCCTTCCGTGGGATTTTGTTTTTTATTCCCCCTGCCAAAGGGGGAAAAAAGAAAAAGATGAGCATTGCCCCCAAAGGGCATCTTCATAGAGTCCAAGTGCTGTCCAGAAGGCAGCATTGGAATGACGGCTGTGCAGCAGGCTCATGCGCTCTCAGAGTTTTGTTTTTTTTTTTTAAGACAGGGTCTCACTCTATCACCCAGGCTGGAATGTAGTGGCTTGATATCACCTCACCGCAACCTCTGCCTCCTGAGCTCAAGCGATTTTCCTGCCTTAGCCTCCTAAGTAGCTGGGATTGTAGGTGCCCACCACCACACCTGATTACTTTTTGTATTTTTAGTAGAGACAGGGTTTCACCATATTGGCCAGGGTGGTTTCAAACTCCCGACCTCAAGTGATCCACCCTCCTTGACCTCCCAAAGTGCTGGAGTTACAGGTGTGAGCCAACACGCCTGGCCTTGCTCAGAGTTTTATATCTGCATATGCATCCTGGGGAGACCAGAACAGCCACGCCACCCTTGGGCTGAATCTTGGATTTTTTTTCTTGTTTGCTTGCTTGTTTTTTGTTTTGTTTTGTTTTGTTTTGCGGAGATAGGATCTTGCTCTGTCACCCAGGCTGGAATGGTGAAATTATGGCTCGTTGCAGCCTCAACCTCCCAGGCTCAATCAGTTCTCCCACCTTAGCCTCCTGAGTAGCTGGGACCTCAGGCACAGGCCACCATTTCCAGCTAATTAAAAAAAAAATTTATTTTTTGTAGAGATGGGGCCTCACTGTATTGCCTGTACTGGCCTCAAACTCCTGGGCTCAAGCAGTCCTCTTGCCTCTACTTCCCAGAGTGCTGGGATTACAGGTGTGGGCCACCACACCCAAGCAGGATTATTGTTTTGATTCAGGTTGGGAACATTTTAAGTGCCATGAGTGTCTGCCACCGTCCATGCATCAGCGTTCTGCCATCAGTGAAGGACTCCACAATGGGGTCTTGGAACAGGTCTGTCTTCTGCCTGGCCCTCCAGATCCATCTGGCTTCTCCGCTCCTGCTGCACAGGCTGTAGGAACTTGGAGCCTGCTTTCTTCTTCTGCAGTTACCCCCACCCACTCTATCCTTTGGGGTCACTTTTCCTCTAAATAGACCCTATTTAGATATATATCCCTCTCCTGCTTCCCATATATGCTCCCAGATGGAGACAAGAGGACTGCTTGAGACCAGCCTGGTCAATATGGTGGGGCCTTCTCTCTACAAAAGTTGTTTTTTTTTTTTGTTTGTTTGTTTTTTTTAAGCTGGGCATGGTGGCAATGTGTCTGTGGTCCTAGCTAGGTAGGAGGCTGAGGTAGGAGGATTGATTTGGCCCTGGAGATTGAGGCTGCCATGAACCGTGATTGCACCACTCTAGCCTGGGCGACAGAGCAAGACCCTGTCTCAAAAAAAAATATGCTTCCCATGGGCCCTCCTTCCTTGTAGAAATCTTACTGTTAATCATCATAGGACTGCTGGAAACTCACAAAAGTAACGGCTAGGGGATGATAGGAGATGTGTGGAGTGTTGCAATCATGCAAAGTCTCTGGTTCGTGCTCATGGCTCTAGTTGAAGGCCGTGAGTGGAAGTCACCTGTGGGCTGAGCCTCTTGCCCATCTGTGTCCAAGGGAGGCTGGTCTAGGGGTTAGGGTTCCACATGGTTTCCTGTGCCCCTGATTTCCTGTGGGCAGTCTCATCCCTGCCCTCTTGGGCTCTGCCTGCCCTGGAGGCCCTGCTCCTGGCCTGGGCCTGGCCTTGGTGCCCCCCATCCTGTGCTCTCTGCAGCTCTCTATGCTGTGCCCACCTCCTTATCAATTCCTGGTGTCGGTCGTCATTGCTCAGGTCAGGTCTTCTAGGCCTGCTCGCATGTTCCCAGGACACTGTCTGACCTGGCTTCTGCCTATGGGATTTAGGCTCCACAGGGACCCCTTCCTTGCCTGTTCCTGGTGTTGATGCAGCCATGTGGTCCCTAGAGCTCTGTGAGGCCCAACATAAATTTTATTTTGCAATGCTATAAGGGAAATACAGTTAGTCCCTCCGGAGTGGGTAGGACAGCAGGGAGGGACCTGAGAATTTGTCCAACCCAAAAGTCTGAGAACCATTGGCCAGAAGGGCTTGGAACAACCTTCCCCATAGATATAGAAGCATGGGGTTGAGAAGAGTCCTGCATGGTGGTGGTGGGGGAGGGGTTGCTGTCCAGGAGGGGAGCTGGGTCTGTGAGCCCCAGAGGCCCCATCCACACAAGCACACAAAAATGTGACCGTGGTGTTGGCAGCATTAGAGATGGAAGCATGAGATTCCTAAGGTCCTCGGGAGCTGGCCCCTGGCACGGTTACAGCGGCTTCTCACAAGCCGACTTTTAAATGCCTGCAGAATTGTCATCATCATCTGAGCAGAACTTCTGATAAGCCCTTTCTTTCCCCCTGTTTTTAGTGGCGCCAGTCTACAGTCATTCGGTATCATTTCACTGGTAGGATGGGCAAAACAAAACCAGATTAAGCGAGGCTGTGAAACCGCAGCCACACTAAAGGTGCAGGCACACAGGTCTGATGGTGAGCTCCAGGAACAGTGTGAGCACGCTCCCCTCCCCACCACCCAGGACAGGCCGGGCCAGGCTTGGCCACTAGTACTTGCCTGTGTACCCCTGAGTACACATGTGGCCCCTGCCAGCAGAGCACCAGCCCTTGGCGGCTGCCTCCCTGCTGTAGAGTGGGCATGCGGTCAGCCCACACTGTACCCCAAAAGTGTTGGCTGAGCACGTATGGAGTCATGTCCACAAAGCCATCCCTGACCTGTATCTTCTAGAATTCATCAGTGAACACTTCCTATGCAGACACCGCTCCCACATGTATATCCAACAGCTGGTCCTGGGCTAGGCGGTGAGCTGGAAACGCTGTGTGGGTGAACCTTCATGTCGGTGAATGCTAACTCCACGTCTTCTCTCCCCCCTTGCAGTAAAAGCTGCACCATTGGGATGGTTCTCAGGCTGTGGAGTGACACAAAAATCCACCTTGATGGAGACGGGTAAGGAAATCTCTTTAAAACCTTCTCTCACTAAATGTAGGCTTTGAACATGAGCTAGCTGGGACATCTTTGGCTGATCATTAGCACAGACTCACGTGTGGTGGGAGTGTCACTGCAGGAGAAGTCGTATCACCCTCGAGTGAGCTGCACGAGGGAGGGTGTGTTTTGGCCATCCCATTAGGGAGTTTAGTTCATGAAGTATCAGTGGGAGCGATTACAGGGGATCTGCTGCTGTGTAAAGTCCAAGACAGCAGTAAACTGACACCATCCACCACCTCAATGGGCTAAGAACTCTCACCACACACCCTCCACAGGCTCGTCCTGAAAGTTCACAGATGAATGTGGTGCAGCAGGAACTCACCAGCTTTGCGGGTGCAGGGAGAGATATACAACTGACAGGCACAACAAGGTTTCGGGTGCCACCCTGGGGGCCACAGAGAATGAATGAACCAGTTCCGCCTGAGCAGGCAGTAGGGATGAGGGGATATCCAGCTTCTGCACATGTTCACTCCCAGGGAGGTGCGTGGACGCCACGAGGAGTGGGAAGAAACAGAACAGGAAAGTGGCCCTACATGGGGATTCTAAGCAGGTCGGGGTTATGTTGCCTTATAGGATGGGAAGAGAAAATAAAAATTGGATTTGTTGTTTAAGTCAATCAACTTAATTGACTTAATTAAATTAAAATTAATATTAAAATATATTAATTTTAATATCTTTGTATTAATTTTTTTCAATGGAGTCTCCCTCTGTCATCCTGGCTGGAATGCAGTGGTGCAATCTTGGCTTACTGTAACCTCTGCCTCCTGGGTTCAAGTGATTCTCCTGCCTCAGCCTCCTGAGTAGCTGGGACTACAGGCATGTGCCACCATGCCTGGCTAATTTTTGTATTTTTAGTAAAGACAGGGTTTCACCCTGTTGGCCAGGCTGGTCTCAAACTCCTGACCTCAGGTGATCTACCCACCTTGGCCTCCCAAAATGCTGGGATTACAGGTGTGATCCTGTAATTCTTGGATTACAACGCCTGGCCTGTATTAATTTTTAATATTTTATATCAGTTTTTATATTAGTACTTTTCTATTAATATATTAATAGATATTTTTATATATTGATTATTTTCCATGCAATCCCATGGATATAGTTTCCATGCAATTACAAAAAGGAACGGCCAGGCGTGTGGGGCAGGAGGTAGCAGGTAGGCAGGAACCATGTGGGAAATAGAAGAGACGCTCTTGGAGGTCCTTGTCTGGCACCCTTTGCCAGGGTTTCAGTTTTTGGTGGAACTCCAATTGCTGGGTTAAAAACAAGCCCTCCTTATCAGAGAATGTGTCTTTTTCTGCCCTTGCCCATGTCTCTGCTGCAGCGGGTTTCGTAATCCCCTATCAGGCGGCATGAGATGTGCTTGTTTTAGTGTGCCAGGTGGACTGGCTCCCTTCTCCCAGAGTGATTTCACTAAAGGGGCTAATTTCTCACCACCAATACCTTTCTCTCTGTTTTTCTTTCTCAGTGGTTTCAGCGTGAGCACAGCAGGAAGGATGCACATATTTAAGCCTGTGTCTGTCCAGGCCATGTGGTAAGTGTGGTTTTAGGACTTTTAACTCCCTAGAAATATTTTCTTAGCTGATAGCATGAATAGAAAAACCCCTTTTACTGAGAAGCTTGTTATGTATGCACATATTTGGGGGGGCACAAAATGTACATAACATAAAATTTACCATTTTCACCATATTTACAGACACAGTTTTCAGTGGCATTAGTATATTCACAATGCTTGGGCAGTTTGGGGTTTCTTGTATTTTTGAGACAGGGTCTTGCTGTGTCTCCCAGGCTGGGGTGCAGTGGTGCGATCATGGCTCACTGCAGCCTTGACCTCCCAGGCTCAGGTGATCCTCCCACTGCAGCCTCCCAAGCAGCTGGGACTACAGGCACGTGCCATCACAACCAGCTAACTTTTGTATTTTTTTGTAGAGATGGGGTCTCACTATGTTGCCCAGGATGGGCTCAAACTTCTGGCCACAAGCAGTCCTCACACCTTAGCCTCCCAAAGTGGTGGGATTATAGGCCTGAGCCACCATACCTGGCCTCAGCCTATATATATATATATATATATATATATATATATATTTTTTTTTTTTTGTAAAAAGAAGTAAAATCGGCTGAGTGCAGTGGCTCACGCTTGTAATCTCAGCACTTTGGGAGGCTGAGGTGGGCAGATCACCTGAGGTCAGGAGTTTGAGAACAGCCTGGCCAACATGGCAAAACCCCGTCTCTACTAAAAATACAAAAAATATCCAGGCGTGATGGTGCACACCTGTAATCCCAGCTACTGAGAAGGCTGAGGCAGGAGAGTCGCTTGAACCCGGGAGGCGGAGGTTGCAGTGAGCCAGATCACACCACTGCACTCCAGCCTGGGCCACAGAGCAAGACTCTATCTCAAAAAAAAAAAAAAAAAAAAGACGACGTAAAAGAGGGTGACTAAATAAAACAGATTCTTTAATATTGTTTCCCAGCCTGCCTCCCCAAACATCTTCCATTAGTTTCTGTATTAAAATGACTTTCTAGAACTTATTTCCTTAGGAAATCTCAGCATCTAAGCCGTTAGAATGTTGATGGGGGGATGGATGGAAATGTAATTATGTAGAATGCAGGCAGATGTGTCTGTTGCATATGAAAGACTTCGTCTTCCAGCTGCTAGGCTTAATTGTGGGTCTTATATTCAAGGTTACCACAGCTTTGAGAGCAGACCTTAATTCTTTGGAGTTAATTGATGGGTTGTAAAATAACCCGTCAACCACCTGATTGGAAGCGTTATGAAGTAGTTTGTTGTTGTTTATTTCTGCCCTTCTTTGGAAATGGTGTGGGGTGTTCTGTCCACTCTTAGATTCAGTCAGCGAATGTGTCCCAGGGACGAGCTCTGTGCCTGGCCGGCTGGACGCTTCAAGCTGTGTGTATTCCCCAGCACCCCTACGTGTAAGCGCAGATGTAAGAATGAGCCCTTGGCCAGGCATGGTGGCTCATGCCTGTAATCCCGGCACTTTGGGAGGAGGTGAGCGGATCAATAGGTCAGGAGATGAAGAACATGCCGACCAATGAAGTGAAACCCGGTCTCTACTAAAAATATAAAAATTAGCCTGGCGTGGTGGCATGCACCTGTAGTCCCAGCTACTTGAGAGGCTGGTGAGCTCAGATTGCATCACTGCACTCCAGCCTAGCAATGGAGCAAGACTGTATCTCAAAAAAAAAAAAGAAAGAGTAAGCCCTTTACAAACTGCCCTTCTTGGCCAAGCACAGTGGCTCACGCCTGTAATCCTAGTGCTTTGGGAGGCCAAGGTGGGCGGATCACTTGAGGCTAGGCGTTCAAGACCAGCCTGGCCAACATTGCAAAACCCCATGTCTCCTAAAAATAAAATTAGCTGGGCATGATGGTGGGCACCTGTGGTCTCAGCTACTCAGGAAGCTGAGGTAGGAGAATTGCCTGAACTCAGGAGGCATAGATTGCAGTGAGCTGAGGTCGTGCCACCGCACTCTTGCCTGGGCAATAGAGCAAGACTCTGTCTCAAAAAGAAATTTAAAAAATAAATAAATAATTTAAAAGTTGCCCTTCCTTTCCCATATTTGAACCCCTTTGTCAGAGGAGGAAACCCTGCATCTCTCGCGCCTTCCTGACCTGACGCTCTGTTTTCCTCACCCCAGGTCTGCCCTGCAGGTGCTTCACAAGGCCTGCGAAGTGGCCCGGAGGCACAACTACTTCCCTGGAGGTGTAGCTCTCATCTGGGCCACCTACTATGAGAGCTGCATCAGCTCCGAGCAGAGCTGCATCAACGAGTGGAATGCCATGCAGGACCTGGAGTCCACACGGCCTGACTCCCCCGCGCTGTTTGTGGACAAGTAAGGGTGGCACCTCCTGTGGGAGCCCCCCCAAGCCCACAGGCACTCGCCTTTCCCCGACCTACCCTGTGCCCGACCCGGAACCTGCTCTGGGCCACACCTCCCCTGGTGTCCCTTGAGTGACAGCCCAGCTTTCCCAGAACCAGCGTTTAATGTAGGGGCCTGTGGGGCCCCTGTCCCATGCAAAAAAAAAAAAAAAATTTACTGATGAATCTGGTAAATCCATTTCTGGGGACAGGGTCCATGACTTCCATCAGATTCTCAAAGGCATCAGATTCTCAAAGGAATGTGTGGCCCTCTGTGTCCCCAGCCCCTTGCAGAGCTCTGTGGTCTGGCTTTTTCAGATTATCGGAGACTTAATTCCCAGAGCCTCCCACTCTGCTCTGAGGAGAGTTAGGAATGTGTCCTCTGCTTCCTTGTATCCAAAAACATAACTGCTGAGGGCAGCCTGTCTTAGCAGCAGCCATGGGGAACCACAGGACCTGTGTCCTGTGACCTACGACAGTGCTGATGTGGAGAGGCCATGCTTGCTGAGATCTAGTTAGAGAGGCAGAACGCTGGTCACTCCTCCCGTCGGGCTCCGGACCCTGCCCCCACAGTGTGGCGTTCCTCCAGGACACTGTATTTTAGGAGGACTGTGGATAAACCACAGCGTGTTCAGAGGGCAGAGACCTGAAGGATGGAAGCCACATTAGGAGAGGCCCTGACATCACAAGCTGGGCTGGGGAGGAAGGATAGTTGCCTTTGAATATTTGGAGATTGCTCATGGGGAAGAAGGATTAGCCTGGTCTGTGTGTCCCCCTAGAGTTAAATCCACAGCAAGGAAATACCCAGAGTTTGATTCTGAGGAAGAAGGGGATAGTGGGAGCTGTTGCAGCTGGGCCAGGCTGCCTTGAGGCAGTGAGGGCCTCATGCCCAGATGTGTTCAGGCAGAGACTCAAGGGCCCCGGGGCCTAGGGACATTGCGCTGGCCATTCCGGCATCCTGCCCTGAGACCGTCTGAGCAAGGCGTGAGTTTCCACACTGCCCTCTGCCCCCTTGACCTGCTCTCCACTCTTTTCACTCCCGTGGGGATCCTAGAGCCACAACGGGTTTCCTGTGCGCCTCTCCCTACTGCCCCAGAACATGCACACCAGGAAGTGTGCTCTGTTTGCCAAGCAGCGTTCTGTTTAGACCCAGGAGCATCTGGCCTTCCTGACACCTCCAACCTCAAGTTTCTACCGCTTCTTGCTCTCGTCAACATCGTTTCTTTCCAGGCCCACTGAAGGGGAAAGGACTGAGCGCCTCATCAAAGCCAAGCTCCGAAGCATCATGATGAGCCAGGATCTAGAAAACGTGACCTCCAAAGAGGTAAGACAACTCCTCCCTTCACTGCAGTTCAGAGGTTGCGAGGCCTTCCTGTGTCCTGCTGCCAAAAGTGCAGCTGAAGCAGACAGGCACCTGGCTGCCTTTACCTGTGCCCTTAACAGCCCCCGGGGGCTTTTTTCTGCCTCATTCTATACTCGCAGCAGGCCTTGGAGTCAGACTCCAGTTTGATTCCAGATCGGCCACTTATCGGCTATGAGACATTGGGCAAATTGCTTGACCTTTTTGAGCCTCACCTGTATGGGCTTTGGGGAGATCTCATTCTATGAGATCCGTAGACTGCACTGCGAAGCGTTGACCTGTGTTAGTAACACCCCCTTGTTCTCTCTTCTGCTCCTTATTACCTTGGGTTTTATGGAAGAGACAGCAGACTTCTCCACAGGATGACAGCTGACCTGCAAATACCAAATTCTAGAATAATTTCTCTCTACCTTTTCATGTTTTGTCCTGGATCATTTTTTTTCCCATCACTTTTTGTTCAAGGTATGCAATGAATTAAAGATTAAACTGGGTGGATCTAAGAGGTTGAGATTGACTTTTTAAAAGTTTATATATAATTTTTTTTTTTTGAGATGGAGTCTCACACTGTCCCGCGGGCTGGAGTGCAGTGGCACGATCTCAGCCCACTGCAACCTCCATCTCTGGGTTCAAGCAATTCTCCTACCTCAGCCTTCCAAGTAGCTGGGATTACAGGTACCCGCCAACACACCCAGCTAATATTTTGTATTTTTTTAGTAGAGATGGATGCTCTCAAACTCCTGACCTCATGATTCACCAGTCTTGGCCTTCCAAAGTGCTGGGATTACAGGCGTGAGCCACCACGCCCGGCCTTTTGTTTTTTTTTTTTTTTTTTTTTTAAAGAGACTTGGTTTTCCTATGTTTCCTATGTTGACCAGGCTGGTCTTGAACTCCTGGCCTCAAGCCATCCTCCCACCAAGGCTTCCCAAAGTGTTGGGATTACAGGCGTGAGCTACTGCATCCAACTCTGTCTTAATTAATGAATACTTTTTTTTTTTGAGACGGAGTTTCGCTCTTATTACCCAGGCTGGCGTGCAATGGTGCAATCTCGGCTCACCACAACCTCCGCCTCCTGGGTTCAGGCAATTCTCCTGCCTCAGCCTCCTGAGTAGCTGGGATTACAGGCACGCACCACCACGCCCAGCTAATTTTTTGTATTTTTAGTAGAGATGGGGTTTCACCATGTTGACCAGGATGGTCTCGATCTCTTGACCTCGTGATCCACCTGCCTTGGCCTCCCAAAGTGCTGGGATTACAGGCTTGAGCCACAGTGCCCGGCCCATGAATACATTTTTTTTAGAAATCATATTGTGATACCTTTCCAAGAAAAATGGAACTGATTTTAGATTCTTTGTATTTGACATTTAATTACAAAAGTAAAAGTGCTTTAAACTTGGTAGAAGAGATCTCATGGAAATGAAATTCCTCATTTGAAATAATAAACTTTCCTCAGTTGGGTTTACTTTAAGCTGAGTAACCTGCATTCCTGCCACCCACATGTGTATGCTTCGTGTGTCTAAATGTATTACTGTGAAAAAAAGAGAAAACCCACCTTTTTTGGAAATAGCCACAGTTTGCATTGTAACTTTAATTCTTTTGAGGCGGACAATTGTTTTCTTTAACAAATCACTTTTCCTAATATTTTCTACTCCACAGATCCGTAATGAATTAGAGAAACAGATGAATTGTAACTTGAAGGAATTCAAGGAATTCATAGACAATGAGATGCTACTTATCTTGGGACAAATGGACAAGCCCTCCCTTATCTTCGATCATCTTTATCTCGTAAGAGGCACGGCCCTGGCAGTATCTGGTTTGGGAGACATAAATCAGACCCTCTTTGTTTGGAGTTTGCAGCAAGTCCAGGTGAAAAAGCAGGCAAAAAGTTTGAGTTGCGGGAGCCTCCATTCTGGCTGGTGGGAGCTCCCCTCTTCGGCCCCTTCTCCGGCCTGCAGGCTGCTGATGTGCTCTTGAGCCAGCTGTTTGAGAAGCGGCTCCCAGCTGAGCTGCGGGGAGTTGTTTGGGAGCTATTTGGCATAGTCAACTGGCATGTGTTTCAGACTCTCTCAAACCCTTTGTCTTCTTCAGCCATGAACACATAGGCCCATCGGTCCCATCCAGCTACTTCCAAGTGGTTTGTGAGCTAAAAAACCCCAGTTGCTAAAGGAAGCATTGCCTCCAAACCCCAGAATTACGCCTAGCTATCCTGAGACACAAGAAACAACAGGGAGGACAGGTCACACAGCTGACATGCAGCTCCCACTGAGCTTGTCCAGACAGCTCTTCCACGCACAGCTCCAGTGCTGCTGGAAGCCTTCCCCCTGGTCCTGTAGTTCTGGGTGGGTTCTGCTGATCGCTGTGCACCTCCACGGCTTGCTCAGACTGTCTGAATGCTGTAAATCTCCATAGAAGGCAACTGGCAAGTTTTCAAAGTCAGAGAGGCTATAGAGGAAGGCATGTTACTAAAATTAGACGGGCCAAGCGGTGTCATGAAAATCAGTACCCACCAGCGCCCAGGTTCCCACTTCTCAGCCTCAGCAGCTGTGTGACTTAGAACAAGTCCTTTCCCTCTGTTTTTCTTCATCCGACACCCCAAGGGATGACTATGAGGATTAAATAAAATACAAACTGGGCACAGTGGCTTATGCCTGTAGTCCCAGGTCCCAGCTACTCAGGAGGCTGAAGTGTGAGGATCGCTTCAGCCTAGGAGTTTGATGCCAGCTTGGGCAACATAGTGAGATCTTGTTTCTAAAAAATAGTTTTTAATAAAATAAAAAATATGCATCTAGAGCACCAAGTGCAGTTTCTGTAAGCGCTAATACTTGGTAACCATTGTTAGAAGAGAAGGTGCTTCCTGGGAAAGCTAAGGAAGTAAATTTGCTGCTAGAGACATGAATGACTTCGTATTCTGTAGGAAGTAATTAAGAGTTACCATGTATATTTCATGATATCTATGTAGATATATAGATATGTGTATTTTTAATATATTTATGTGTACAGATCTATATAGCTTATATAGTTATTGATTAAAATGCATGTGCATGTGTGGATTTGAAAGCCGTGGGCAGTCCTGGGCACTAAATCTCCCTGGCAAGTCTGTTGACTTTCCCTGGTGAGAAGGGAATGGAAGGTACCTTCGTTCCATCTTTCTCCACTAGGTGGCAGTCACAGCAAGAGGACACTCATAGCTTCTGTGGCGCTCGCGTTATTTTTTGGTGTGGTTCGGTGCTTTATGTCACTTTTTCCATGAGAGATACTAAAGGAATTTTTATGTTTGGGCCTCTCCCTCCAATATGAAAATTCAGCTAGTGTTGCACATTACCAGCTTGCTCAGGGCCCCTCTACCCCAGGGTCCTGGGGTTGGGGGGGTCTGTCCTCTTGGGAACCTGGGAAAGGAAATTTATAGGAAGACAAAGATGGATTCTTTTGCCCTTTATGACACTATGTTGTTTGCATTTCCTAAGAGCAAAGTGATCATTTTTTCTTTTCTTTTTTTCCCGTTTCATGACCTTTGAATGCTTGGTTTTTCAATGATACCATTTTTTAAAAGTACGAAATTAAAACATTGCAGAAAGTCTGCAAATAGAAATAGATCTAAGAAAGAAAAAAGCATTCCCAATCTCAATCCAGAGGTAGTCCCTGTAACATTTTGGCATATTTGCTTTCCCATCTTCTGTTTTTTGGGTTTTATAAACGCATATATAGCTTCTTTAGAAAGGAACAGAGGCCGGGCATGGTGGCTCACGCGTGTAATCCCAGTACTTTGGGAGGCTGAGGCCAGCAGATCACCTGAGGTCAGGAGTTCAAGACCAGCCTGGCCAACCTGGTAAAACCCCATCTTTAAAAAAAATAAATATAAATAAATAAAATTTAAAAATATATAAAAAGGAACAGAAAGGAAAGGATCATACTGTTTATGTTTATATAGTTCTGTATCATGCTCTCTTTTTAAATTTATTTCCTGACATGGTATTTGCCTGTGTCATTAAATGTTCTGCAAAAAGATAATTGGTTTTAAAGACTCCACCATGAAGATCCAGCCTCATTTATTTTACTCATTTTTTTCCCATTGGATGTTTGGGTGGTTTCTATTGGTTTATTACAAATAATTATAAATATCCTCCCACCTAAATCACTGTGTGAGTTCTGATTATTTCCTCAGGATAGCTCTTTATAAGTGGAATTACTGGGTCAGAGGGTGGGAACTTTTTCAGTACTGCCAAAATACTTCCCAGAAGGTAGAAGGATTCCCGCTTTAATTAGTGGCTTGTGAACGTGCCCTTCCCTGGGTGGGAGGTCTCAGGTCATTGCCTCTGCTTACAGGACCCCACCGGAATCTTAGGAAAGGAAGTGGGGAGATGGGGAGCAGGTTTTCCTGGACTTGCTGTTTCCCTAAGGCCAAGGAGCCAGTGAGGGCCAGGACCTTTCCCTCCCTCTGTCCCTCCCTCCCTTCCTTCCTTCTTCCCATGCTGTGAATACTCACTCAGGAACCTCCTTGAATATCAGCCGCTGGTTCTCTCTGTTCCCTGAGGCCAAGGGGCCATGAAGTAAGACCTCCCAGCCAGGACTAGGGCAAACTGTGCATCCCCTGAGCAGCTCTGAGGCTGACATGTGACACTCACAGGAGTTTGTGTGATCTGTCTCCCAGGGCTCTGAATGGAATGCATCCAATCTGGAGGAACTGCAGGGCTCAGGGTGAGTCTCCTCCCCTTGTCTTTCCCTGTCCTTCCAGGCAGCTTAGAAACCCTCCACTCTGCCATGGAGGGGGAGACCTTGGGGCTGCCTGCCTGTAACTGCCTGCACCCTGGTCTCTGAAGTGGCTGCCAGGGTTTGATGTGCATAGCTAAACAGATGTGCTTCCAAACACCACGCCCTGAATAATTCATGGAGTTTAGATTGTGCTGAAGTCTCGAGTGATTGTGTGGGTTGAGGAAAACTTTTTAAAATCCCACTCCAGTGCTGTAGGACCGCCTGGATATTGATCAGGCCCTGTACCGCCTCCCCCCAGCCTCCCTGTGCCGCACAGTTTGCTGCAAACTCTAGTGTGGACGAAGAGGTCTGCTGGCTGTTCTGTTAGTCTGCCACCCTGATCCCTGGGCCACTCCTGGCTCTGTCTGAGCTTCCGCTTTGGGGCCTGGTGGGAATCTTGCAACTCTATGCTCAGTGTTGGCCAGAGGCATATGCCTGTCCTAGTCTGACAAGCACTCAGCAGGGATGAAAAATGTTTCAATCTAGACCTTCAAGAACAGATGTCTGGACTTTTTTTTTTTTTAAACAACACAGCCACAAAATCACCGTTCTGTGGGCCTGACATGATGACATTCTAGAATTACCACATTTAAAACTCAAGACTAAACAAATCTTAAAATACATCTTTAGAACTACTGGTTAAGATGCATTCTTTCAATAGAAAGTATTCTTAAAACTTAAGGCCATACTCTTCTGTGCTTTTGTCTTGCTGGGAATAAATTAAGGACTTCCACAGGTATTTTTTTAAGCATGTCTAAATATCATGAAACCTATTTCAGACGTTTTCTAACTCCTGACATTATTTTCTTCCAGAATTAAAGGTATTGATTAAGTTTAAAGAACTACAGAACCCAGGTTAGCAGACCCTGTCAAATACCTATTTATATATCTTGCCTTGTTTCAAAAAAGGATGTAAGGCAATTCCCAAGGATATAGATAATGGATGGATATAGTCTCCTTCTTAGCTATTTAAGTGAAAACTCTAGGATTTTTTAAAGCCTCTGTATACTCAGTTATGAATAGTTATAAATGTATTTAAATAATACATATATATATTTCATTTTCTAGAATGCTTTAAGCTGAGTTTTCTTTTTATAAGATTTTTAAAATAAATTTGATTTCTTACTATAAATAGAATACATTCTCACCATCTAGAGGGCATTTAGAAAATACCAAAAAAAGTAACTATTAAGGAAAAACCAGCCTCGCAACCAGCATATGACCCTTTATGAATGGTGTTTCCTTTTCTTTTCTTTGCCAGTTTTTATTACCTTGCTTTTTCAGTTCCTCATTCTGATTCTCCAAATGTGTTTCTTGCTTTTTTTCTCATTGCAGGGTTGACTACATTTTAAATGTTACCAGAGAAATCGATAATTTTTTTCCTGGCTTATTTGCGTACCATAACATCCGAGTCTACGACGAAGAGACGACAGACCTTCTCGCCCACTGGAACGAAGCGTATCACTTTATAAACAAGGCAAAGTAAGTGGGTAGAGAGGCGGGGCTGAGGATGAAACCGACAGGCAGAGGCTGGGAGGGTGAGAGCCAATGGGACTGCAGACGCAGGAGTCGGCTGCTGGGAGGGGACTTGATGTGGGATGGACCTTTGTTTTTAGTCACAGGACACCAAGCACCAAAGGGAAGTGGTTGGTCCTCTCCAGGTAGAGTCCCTATTGAGCTTACTCTCTCCCACCTATCCTTGACTGTGACATTGGACCCCCCCTTGTCATTATCAGCTCTGATTCCAGGCAAGCCCCAGATACCAAGTGGAAGTTGCCGAGCCGAAGGAGGGTTAGGGTAGGGCAGGGCCTGCTTCTTTGGGACTGCCTCCCTAAGAATACGGCCCGCCTTCCCTCCCTGAGTTACTGCCCATTGGATGTCGTGGCCAGCGCCACTGCCCCTGAGCCTGACACCGGTTTCACCGGTCTCTGGTGCTCGCTTTATTCCTGTGTGAAACAGCTCTGCCTTATTGGAGTTGAGAACAGAAAGAGAGAACCCTTTGAGGTGCTATCAAGACAATCACCCTCTTCTGTTTTGTCTCCCTCTGGGTCAAAGCTACATGGTGTGTCCTTAACCAAATCTTAGTTCCCTTGTATTCTAGGAGACAAACTCAAAGACTCCCTTGACAGAGACTTCAGACCAGCAGTTGGGGGAGGCGGGAAACCACTGAGATTTACAGGGGAATTTCAAGCTTGGGGTATAGGAAACTGGAGCCAGCTTCCACCTGGTGGGTCTGCCTTTGGTACAAATAAAGTTTCGCAGGTGCTCCCTTACCGGCCTGGTGTTCCTTCACATTCTTGAGCTAGTGATACTTAAAGAAACGCTGTCTCCTGGGCCATATCTGGTAAATCAGCCAGGCCTGGGCCAGCACTGCCTCCTTAGAAATAATGGGCCAACCCCATCGCCCATTCCTGGCTTTTCTCTGCGGCCGCCCTCGCTCCTGCTCCCTGGCCCTCCCGTCTGAAGAGCATCTCGCGTTCCCCAGGGCCTTGCAGCTTTCAGTTCTCTGACCCCATTTTTCTGCAGTAACTAATTCACCATCTCCATCTGCTGTAGCAGCTGAGAAGCTCTTGCAGAAATCCCGTTAGCTGCCCACTCAGCCCAGGAAAGGGTTTTTGGTCCCTTATCCCAGCCATGTGACAAGATTCTCACTTTGTCCCTGAAGGCAGCCAAATGTTGAAGCTCTCCCTGCAAACAAAACATGGCTAGGCCAGAACAGATTTATTTTCCATTGTGTGCTAATTGATTCTACAGCGGTGTTATTTCCTTAGAGTGTGTGGACATCTGCTTCGTAAACATTAAGATGTAAGAGGATTTCAGCAATAAGATAACTGTAGGGCTTAGAAAAATGATTCCGGTGAAACTTGAGAGAATGAAATTGTTGGAGCTTTTTAACTCCTTCCCCACTGCTCCCATGTCCCTCCCCCGACAACTGCTTCCGCCGCTGCAGGAGGAACCATTCCAAGTGCCTGGTGCATTGCAAGATGGGCGTGAGTCGCTCGGCTTCTACGGTCATCGCCTATGCCATGAAGGAATTCGGCTGGCCTTTGGAAAAAGCATATAACTATGTGAAGCAGAAGCGCAGCATCACGCGCCCCAACGCAGGCTTTATGAGGCAGCTGTCTGAGTATGAAGGCATCTTGGACGCAAGGTGGGTGCCTGCCTGGAGAGAGGGGTTGACAGGCGGAGCTGGAGCAGCCCCGCAGCCAAGCCAGCCGGGCCTCTGTCGGCAGCAGAGCGTGCTCCCATTCCACCCAGCAGCCGCTTCCGCAGCCAAAATCCTGCCTCTCAGGGGGAGCCAGTTTGAGAAAAACAACTATTGTTTGGGCTTTGATGAGTGGTTTCCAGGAGGGATCTGTTTTGATTTTCTTGGCACACACACAAAGCTGGTTTTGCTGCCAGAGGGAACAGTGCCTTGGTTCTAAGCTAAGGCCTGGCCTCGTGTGTGTGATGTAGGCACGTGCGCATCCTGCTTCCTGGGCATCTGCTTTGTGCGAGCCCTGTGCACCAGCTTTGCTGTGGAAGAACCCAAGGACTTGGAGAGGCACAGCAACCAGGTTCCACCGCTGATGAGCAGGGCAAGTCAGGGCAAGCTCATCAGTCTCTCCAAGCCTCAGTTCCCTCTTCTGAGTTAAGAATTAATGTCCACCTTCGCTGGGCATGGTGACATGCACTTGTAGTCCAAGCTGCTCAGGAAGCTGAGATGGGAAGATTGCTTGAGCCCAAGAGTTCGAGGCTGCAGTGAACTGTGATTGTGCTACTACACTCCAGCCTGTGTGACGGAGCGAGACCCTATCTCTTAAACGAAAATGCTTTTTAAAACACTGAGGTGGAGTATGGTGGTTCATGAGGCCAAGGCGGGTGGATCGCTTTAGCTCAGGAGTTTGAAACCAGCCTTGGTGATGCAGGATATTTTCTTGACCCCTTTGTGGGACTCGCAACAGGGGTGCCTCATTTACTCAGCTTGCCCCACTCTACTCATGGGAGAGAGTGTAAAAATGAACTAGTGCAAGAACTGGAGTGACCGAGTAGAGGAACCAGCCTCTTTGGCGCTGGCAAGAGCAAACTCTGTGCAGACTCCATGGCAGCATCCAGGTGGGGGTGCCTGTGACCAAGGTCTCAGAGGGTGTGTTATAATACTCTTTTAGCTCCGCCATCTGCAGATAGCAGTGTGTCACCAGCTCAGTGGGCCTGAGGCAGCTGCCTTCTGCCAGTAAGGGCAAAGGGCCAGTGTGACAGTGTCTTTGGGTACCCACACCTCGTGTGTCCCGAATTTTTGTCCAGTGCCCAAGAGGAATGAGGTCACATGGGCGAATTGAAGAATGGTGAATGTGGAGAATTGTATTGAGTATAAAAGCAGCCCTCAGCAGAGAGGGAAGCTAGAAAGGGGGTGGGAAGGGAAGGTCACTCTCCCCTGAAGTCAAGCCACCTCTCTGCCTCGTCCAGCCTCCATCTTCTGAAATCAAGCTGCCTCTCTCCGACATCCCGGCACTTCTTCCTGACGTCCAGCTGCTGCTTCTCTCTGCCAGCTGAGTCTGGGGTCTCTATAGGCACAGGATGGGGGCGGAGTGGGCTATAGGTAGTTTTGGAAAAGGCAACATTCAACTGGTAAGAAGATATTATTCAGAAAGACCCAATCTGGAGAGAGCAGGCACACAGGGATGGAAGTTCTTACTTTGGGACACAGGTTTCAGGCTTTTCGGCTTGAAGGTAGGGTTTTGCCAGGGACCTGCCCCTGTCTGCCTAGAATTTCTCTGCCTCCTGTCACTATCATTGGCAAAATGGTGAGACCCCGTCTCTACTAAAAATAGAAAAAAAAAAAAAAAACAGCCAGATGTGGTGGTGTGCACCAGTGGTCCCAGCTACTTGGGAGGCTGAGGTGAGAGTATTACTTGAGCCCAGGGGGCAGAGGTTGCAGTGAGCTGAGATTGCACCAGTGCACTCCAGCCTGGGTGACAGAACCTGACCCTGTCTAAAAACAAACAAACAAACAAATAATGAATGCTCACCTTAATGTGGATGTTAATGGTACAGGTGCTGTGATTCTTCAAAAAAGTAGGAATAGAATTATTATATCATCCAGCAATTCCACTTGTGAGAATACTGGGTCCCGAAGAGACACCAGTGCTTATAGCAACATTATCCACAACCGCCCAAAAAGTGGAAGCAACCCAAGTGTTCCCTGATAGACGAACGAACAAAGTGTGGCTGCAGGGCGCGGTGGCTCCTGCCTGTAATCCCAGCACTTTGGGAGGCCGAGGCAGGCGAATCACAAGGTCAGGAGATTGAGACCTTCTTGGCCAACACGGTGAAACCCCGTCTCTGATAAAAATACAAAAATTAGCTGGGCGTGGTGGTGCATGCCTGTAGTCCCAGTTACTTGGGAGGCTGAGGCAGGAAAATTGCTTGAACCCAGGAGGCGGAGGTTGCGCTGAGCAGAGGTCATGCCACTGCACTCCAGCCTGGATGACAGAGCAAGACTGTCAAAAAAAAAAAAATGTAGCATATTCATACAGTGGGATATCACACAGCCCTAAAAAGGAAGGAAAGTCTGACACAGGCTACAATAGGCATGAGCCTTCAGGACATTGTGCTAAGCAGAATCAGCCAATCACAAAAAAGAGAACTACTCTATGTTTCCACGCATATGAGGTACTTAGAGTGGTCAAAGTCATAGAGACAGAGGCCAGAATGGTGGTTGCCAGGGACTGGAAGAAGAAGGGAATGGGGAGTTACTGTTCAGTGGATACCAAATTTCAGCTTTATTAGAGGCAGAGAGTTCTGGAGACTTAGTCTGGAGGCTCTCTGGATGGTGATGATGGCTGCACAACATTATGAATGTATTTAATGTACACTTAAAAGTGGTCAAGAAGCTGGGCGCGGGGGCTTACACCTGTAATCCCAGCACTTTGGGAGGCCGAGGCAGGTGGATCACGACGTCAAGAGGTCAAGACCATCCTGGTCAACATGGTGAAACCCCCTCTCTACTAAAAATACAAAAAATTAGCTGGGCATGGTGGTGCGTGCCTGTAATCCCAGCTATTCAGGAGGTTGAGGCAGGAGAATTGCCTGAACCCAGGAGGCAGAGGTTGTGGTGAGCCTAGATCGCGCCATTGCACTCCAGCCTGGGTAACAAGAGCAAAACTCCGTCTCAGAAAAAAAAAAGTGGTCAAGATGAGGCTGGGTGCAGTGGCTCATGCCTGTAATCCTAGCACCAAAGCGGGTGGATCACTTGAAGGAGTTTGAGACCAGACTGGCCAATAAGGTGAAACCCGTGTATTCTCTACTAAAAATAGAAAAATTAGCTGGGTGTGGTGGTATGTACCTGTAATCCTAGCTACTTGGAAGGCTGAGGTGGGAGAAAGACTTGAACCTGGGAGGCCAGGAGTTCAGACTGCAGTGAGCCATGATCACATCATTGCACTCCAGCCTAAGCAACAGAGTGAGACCCTTTTTCAAAAATTAATTAAAAATTTAAAAATATATAAGTAAATGAATAGTGGTCAGGATGGCAAATTTTATTTTATTTATTTTTTGAGACAGGGTCTCACTCTGTCACCCAGGCTAGAGTGCAGGGTATGATAGTGACACCTCAACCTCCCAGGCTCAAATGATTGTCCCACCTCAGCCCCCCAACCAGCTGGGACTACAGGTGCTCATCACAATACTCAGCTAATTTTTTGTGTATTTTTGGTAGAGACAGGGTTTCGCTATGTTACCCAGGCTGGTCTCAAACTCCTGGACTCAATCGATCCTTCCGCCTCAGCCTTCCAAAGTGCTGGGCCACCACACCTGGCCCAAATTTTATGTTTTATGTATTTTAGCACAGTAAAAAAATAAAATTGAGGGCCAGGTGCTGTAATTCCAGCACTTTGGGAGGCCGAGGCAGGTGGATCACCTGAGGTCAGGAGTTTGAGACCAGCCTGGCCAACAGAGTGAAACCCCATCTCTACTAAAAATACAAAAAAATTAGCCAGGCATGGTGGCGTGTGCCTGTAATACCAGCTACTCGGGGGGCTGAGGCACAAGAATCACTTGAACCCAGGAGGCAGAGGTTGCAGTAAGCCCAGATCATGCCACTGCACCCCAAAAAAAAAAAAAAAACACTCTTTTTAAAAAATGCCTACCTGATAGGGCTGCGAGGTTTGCATGAGTGCTGTCAATCAAGCAAAATGCCCAAGGCATGTCTCAGTCATTTTAGGAGGGTTATTTGCCAGTGTTGAGGATGTGTACCCGGGCGACAGGTCTATGCCTTTCTCCGAAGATAATTATGAGGGCTTCAAATTTTAAGGGGAAAGGGTGGCATATTGAGAAATATACAATTTTCTTGTGAGGGGAATGGGGGAAAAGAGTCATTCATGCCTTCGTCTGGCTCAGTGAATCTGCCTTTTTGCAGAACATGGACAGTAGGGCAGAGGAAACAGTCAGATATGCATTTGTGTCAGGTGGGTAGAGGGGTGACTGACTTCTGTCCTGTGTCTTCCTTCCCACCCCCACTCTGTACTGTGAAGATAAGCTGTCAGTTTTCTTTGCCATGGTGAATTTTAACAGAGAGTTTTAGGATAAAGATTTTGGGGACCACAAGGAATTTCCTTGTGAGCAAGATATATGAGGGAGGTGTGTAGCTTTTCATCTTCGCAGCCATCTTATTTAGGAACCAAAATGGGAGGCAGATTTGCATGACCCGCTTCCCAGCTTGACTGTTCCCCCTTGGCTCAGTGAGTTTGGGGTCCCAAGATTTATTTTCCTTTCACAGTGCTAAACAGGCTTACCTTTCCAGATACTTCCCAGACCTGGCTCATAGTAAATAATAAATTAGCTTGTTTATTAATAATAAGTAATAATAAATTAGCTTATTATTAATAATAAATTAGCTTATTTTAAAGTCTCTGAACTCCCACCCTAAAGAGCTATGTACAGGTTATTCCCCTTTTCCAAGGATCGGGGCAGGGATGAGGGGTTGACGCTGAGAGGTTGATCTGCCCCCATCACACAGCTAGTGGACAGCAGGAGGGAGAGGTACACCCTGGCCCCTCACTTGGCCTCTGAGTGGGGCACTGTGTGCAAAAAGCCCTGTGGTTCTCTTAGTCACAGGGCGTGGTGGGGCAGGTCCTCGCTGTGGTTCCAGTACCCCAGGTTGTCAGGTCAGAAGCCCAGAGCCTGGGCGTCACTTTCTCCCTGTTCCCTTTTGAGTCAGTCTGTACAAGAAACTGGCCCCCCTAGGTGATAGCAGGCTGGTGTTGGAAGGAAGCCACAGGGAAAGTTCACCAGCTTCTTGGCCAAGTTTGGGGAAGCAGGAATACCCTGGCAGGGTTAAACAGGGTCCAGAGAACAGCACCAGCCAACTGCGGACTCCCTCACTGTCAGAGAAGGCCTGGGCAGGTCCCCAGGCAAGGCCCAGAGGAAGAGGAGGAAGAGTGAGCATCTCACTGTCCACTCTGTGCCCTTTGCAGCCTAAGGCGGGCACTCCAGCCCGGGTTCACAGCAGCCTGGCAGTGGCCTTGAATAGCTGCTCGCTGAGATGTGCACACCAAGCAGAGAGGAATGAGTGACCGTGCGCTCTCACTCAATGCGCTTATATTTACTTCGCTCTTGCCTTAACCCTCACAAACCTGTGATATTGGGATTACTTTAAGGTCCTTGAGGGTGACTTAGTTACCTTATTTTACTGTAAACAACTTTTTTTATGCCTTATATTTAAAAAATATATTAGAGAGCTGGGTGCAGTGGCTCACACCTGTAATCCCAGTGCTTTGGGAGGCTGAGGTACGAGAATCGCTTGAGACCAGGAGTATAAGACCAGCCTGGGAAACATAGCAAGACCCTGACTCTACAGAAAAATAATTTAAAAATTACTCAGGGATGGTGTCATATGCTTGTAGCCCCAGCTACTTGGGAGGATGAAGCAGGAGGATCACTTGAGTCCAGGAGTTTGAGGCTGCAGTGAGCCATGATCACATCAGTACATTCCTGCCTGGGCCACAGTGAGACCTTTGTCTCATAAAGAAAAAAAAGGTATTATAAAAACAATATCATAGTTGTAGAAGAAATTGTCTAAAGACTGACCTAAACAAATACTTTCCAGTTTTCCAGGATCTTCCCAAATGTGTTCCAGTGCATTATGCGTTTCTATAGTTGTATAATTGTGTATAGATCTGTACGTAGTCCGCTTTGATTCCCTTCATTTCCCTACAATATAGGTCGGAGAGCGTTGTTATTCTCATTGGACGGAGAGAGAAATGAGACATTGAGTGTAACTGATGTGACAAAGTTCATAAAATGAGGCAGCACTAGACACAGATACACAGACTGAAGTCTAGATGTTTCCTTCCCCGTTGTCATCAGGGACAGAAAGTCACATCAGGCTTCCCGTGGGAGCCTGGACTACTTAAGATCCCAGTGTTGTTTCTCAACCTTGTGTTTCTTGGGAAAAAATGAATAGAGAGAGGCTTTACCTTAACTAGCCGTGGATCATCCCTGGCGCCCCGACCTTGGGCAGCCCCTCACTGGCTCACTGCACACTTTTCCCAGTACCCCCAGGCACCGTCCTCCTCCACTCACCTTCTTCCACCCTCTCCCAACAGCAAACAGCGGCACAACAAGCTGTGGCGTCAGCAGACAGACAGCAGCTTCCAGCAGCCTGTGGATAACCCCGCAGGACCCGGCGACTTCCTGCCAGAGACCTCCGATGGCACCCCGGAAAGCCGGCTACCCTGCTTGGATGATGCTGCCCAGCCCGGCTTAGGGCCCCCACTCCCCTGCTGTTTCCGGAGACTCTCAGACCCCCTTCTACCTTCCCCCGAGGATGAAACTGGTAACTTGGTCCACCTGGAGGATCCAGAGAGGGAGGCTCTGTTGGAGGAAGCTGCTCCGCTTGCAGAGGTGCACAGGCCAACCAGACAGCCCCAGCGAGGTTCTGGACTCTGTGAGAAGGATGTGAAGAAGAAACTAGAGTTTGGGAGTCCCAGAGCCCAGAGTGGCTCCTTGCCGCAGGTGGAGGAGATGGAAAGGGAGGAGGGCCTGGGAGCAGGGAGGTGGGGGCGGCCTCCAACCCAGCTCGATCAAAACCTGCTCAACCCGGAGAACCTAAATAACAACAACAGCAAGAGGAGCTATCCCGACGGCATGGAGGTAGGCAGGGCCCGGCCTGCAGGGTGGCACACCCCATCCCTTCCATCCCACTCCTACTGGCCCACCTCAGCCTCTGTAGCTGGGACTTCAGGCACGTGCCACCACACCCAGCTGATTTTTTTCTGTTGCCTCTCCTGGGCCCGCAGCTCTCATCTCCAGGGACCTGAGGGTTCTTTCAGAGGGTGATTCTGCTGGTGGCTACATAGTGTGTACATTATATAGCGAATTGGGAATCTGTTGGGAATAATGCGTATCTCTGCATGCCATCGGCACCCCGTACACCTTATTCATATCCTTGGCAGGGCTTCCAACTCAATTTCTTTTTACATATATGAAATTAAAACATGTCATTTATCAGCCAACTTCAGCCTTTATCAGTATATGACAGTTCTTTTTCATCTCACCCCAGATGATTCTGGAACCAATCCCAGATAGAGATAGCAGATATAGACACCTATATCTAAAAATATGTATATTATAGATCTATACTATAGATGTAGGTATATACTGTAGACAAGGTCTCACTCTTTGCCCATGCTGGAGTGCAATGGCACGATCACGGTTCACTGCCCCCTTGACCTACCAGGCTCAAGTGATCCTCCCACCTCAGCCTCCTGAGTAGCTGGGACCACCGGCACATACTAAGACACCCAGTTAATTTTTTCTGTTTTTTATAGAGATGAGGTCTCACTGTTGCCCAGCCTGGTCTCAAACTCCTAAGCTCAAGCAATCTGCCCACCTTGGCCTCCTGAAGTGCTGGAATTACAGGTTTGAGCTACCTCGCCTGGCCTCAGATATATCATTTTATTCATAAATGCTCCAGTATGTAACATAGCCGCAGTACCATTGTCACCTTTAAAAAACCAATAGGGCTGGGCATAGTGGCTCACACCTGTAATCCCAGCACTTTGGGAGGCCAAGGTGGGCAGATCATGAGGTCAGGAGATCAAGACCATCCTGGCCAACATAGTGAAACCCTGTCTCTACTAAAAATATAAAAATCAGCTGGGTCTGGTGGCAGGTGCCTGTAATTCAAGCTACTCGGGAGGCTGAGGCAGGAAAATCAATTGAACTCAGGAGGTGGAGGTTGCAGTAAGCTGAGATCACACCACTGCACTGCAGCCTGGCAACAGAGTAAGACTGTCTCAAACAGCAAAAACAACAACAACAAAAACTGATAATAATTTCCCAACACTATCAAGTATCCAGCCTTCCAACTTAGACTCTAATACTTAACTCCGTTAGTCTCTTTGAGTTGTCATTTTTGGTGGATTATCTGCCACAAGGTCTGAGCTTCAGTCGTGCTTACTCAGAGAATCGTTAATTCCAGCCAACCTTTTTCCTCCTCCATGTGGGGAAGCGATACAGGAGCAGAGGCGGGTTCAGTGGAAGGGTGGCTGTGCAGCCTGGTCTCTGCTTCCACCCTTGCCCTGCTGCTGACGTTGTTTCCGCTGGCTTTACTGCCCGTCTCACAGGACAGCCATGGTTCTCCAGTGCAGGCTTGGGATCCTGACAGATGCATCCAAGTGTACATCCAGTTTATCATTAACAGCATGTTACAATGCAGACAAAACTGGGCAGTTGCATCTGTTGACCTCCAAATTGTAAAAAAGTCCAAATCAAATATTAATTATGGATTTCCCCCACTTCTCTACTTAGCAAATACCCCTAAAGGCAGATGAGATAAAACCCTGTGCTGGGCACGGTGGCCCATGCCTGTAATCCCAGCACTTTGGGAGGCTGAGGCAGGCAGATCACCTGAGGTCGGGAGTTGGAGACCAGCCTGACCCACATGGAGAAACCCCATCTTTACTAAAAATACAAAATTAGCTAGGCGTGGTGGCACAGGCCTGTAACCCCAGCTACTCGGGAGGCTGAGGCAGGAGACTCGCTTGAACCCGAAAGACGGAGTTGCAGTGAGCTGAGATGGTGCCACTGCACTGCAGCCTGAGCAACAATGGTGAAACTCCATCTCCAAAAAACCTATGGAAGCCATGGTGGAGGCTTTAAGCAGGTGGGTGATAAAGCCCCTCTGGCTGTGGTCTGCAGGCAGGCTGATGGGTTAAGAGCGGAAGCTGGGAGCCTGAGGTTGCAGCCTGCTCAGAAGATGCAGCAGGGCCATCGGGAGGTTTGAGAGACAGAGCTGGCGGGGTATGGTGGGCCACATGCCTGTAATCCTAGCACTTTGGGAGGCCGAAGCAGGAGCATCACTTGAGCATAGGAGTTTGAGACCAGCCTGGACAACATAGTGAGACCCTATCTCTATCTATTTAAAAAAAAAAAGACAGAACCCTGTTGCCTTCCTGCCTGGTCCTGTCCTCCAGCCTGCAGTCCTGTGCAGGAGGGTCGTGGGGAGTTTTTCTCTCCCCTCTCCCTCTGCTTCTGGGCCTGCGTGCCGCTCTCTCTGGCTGGTCAAAACCTGCTTGTCCCAGAAGCTTCAGCTGAAGTGTCAGTTTCTCTGGTCAGCCTTCCCGCTGCAGAGACTCTGAACTTGTCCCTCTCTCTCCTGGGATTCTTTACTCAGCTTTCTAGTCCGTTCCCAGTACCACTGGGTGCCTGTCAGTTGGCCTGTGAGGAGGTGAATGGCAGGGACATAGAGAATCACTTAGATTCTCACTGATCAAGAGGCAGGGGGGTTTCCTTAGGAAACAATATAAACTTGTTTTCTGTTGGTGTATAAAACCCACCTCAGGCTGGGCACGGTGGCTGACGCCTGGAATCCCAGCACTTTGGGAGGCTAAGGTGGGTGAATCACCTGAGGTCAGGAGTTAGAGACAAGCCTAGCCAACATGGTGAAACCCTGTCTCCACTAAAAATACAAAAATTAGCCGAGCATGGTGGTATACGCCTTTAATCCCAGCCACTCAGGAGGCTGAGGCAGGAGAATTGCTTGAACCCAGGAGGCAGAGGTTGCAGTGAGCCGAGATCATGGCCGTGCACTCCAGCCTGGGTAACAGTGAGACTCCATCTCAACGAACCAGTCAGTCAATCAATCCCATCTCAGCTCAGCTCTCATCAGGGGCTGTGGGCCCCTGCATCTAGGTCTGCATTAGTCTTTCTAAAAACCATTTTTGCTCTTTGTCACCCCTCTTGTGAAGACCATGGCGAGCTGACGGTTCTGGGGCCACGCTGTGCCCCTGCTAGGTAGGAAGGGCTCCATCGTCAGGCCGCACACTCCCCAAATGCAAATTATTTCTGAAAGGGAGACTCTCCCATCTGTTTCTGTGGCAGGCACATTACTTCACTGAATTATCCCAGTGCTGTGATTGTCACCCTTTTTGTCCAGGTGAGACCAGGGCCTAGAAAAGGATTATGCTGTGCAGATGGCAGAGGTGGGGTTGTGAAGGATGGTCCCCAGAGCCCCTGGTCATGCTGGCGTGTGGCCCAAGATGTGCCCAGGATCTTCGGCACTTAGCTTCTGGGAAGTTGGATTCAGCATCTCTGTCTTCTCTCTAACCTGTGTTATTGACTTCTCTCTAACCTGCATATTTTACGATCATGTTATTCACGATTCATGATCTCTAACCTACGTTATTCACCTGCTCCGGGAGGTCTGTCTGTCCGTACTAAGTGAAGTGAGAGCCACCTCTCTGGGCCAGGCCCCAGCCCCGCCTCACACCTCTTTCCCTGCCCACCCTCATGTTTTTGGTCTTTGGCTCGTGGCTGCCCTCTCTCACCATGTTCTTGTCCCCTTCCTTGCAGCATGATGCTATATTTGGGATCCTTAACAAAGTGAAGCCTTCCTACAAATCCTGTGCTGACTGCATGTACCCTGCAGCCGGCGGGGCTCCCGAGGCCTCCAGGGAGCGATGTGAGGACCCCAGCACTCCTGCCATCTGCACGCAGCCAGCCTTCCTGCCCCAGGTCACATCCTCCCCTGTGGCCCACATGGCTGGCAGGTCCCGTGTTCTGGAGAAGCCGGCCTCTGGCCCAACCGAACCTCTCCCGTTTCTACCACCAGCAGGCTCCACAAGGCCAGACACCAGTGGCCCTGGGGCTGGGGCTGCCCTAGAGCCACAAGCTAGCCTGTTGGAACCTTCCAGAGAGACCCCAAAAATCCTGCCAAAATCCCTCCTTTTGAAGAATTCTCACTGTGATAAGAACTCTCCCAGCATGGAAGTGGTGAAGGAAGAATCGTCACCCAAGAAAGATACGAAACCAGCCAAGGACCTGAGGCTTCTGTTCAGTAACGAGTCTGAGAAGCCGACAACCAACAGCTACCTGATGCAGCACCAGGAGTCCATCATTCAGCTGCAGAAGGCAGGCCTGGTCCGCAAGCACACCAAAGAACTGGAGCGGCTGAAGGGTGGGCCCGCAGACCCAGCTCCCCCATCTAGGGACGGCGCTGCCGGCAGGCTAGAGGCCAGCATCCCAGAGGAGAGCCAGGATCTAGCCGCACTGCACGAGCTGGGGCCCCTGGTTATGCCTGGCCACGCCGGGAGTGATGAGAAGTCAGAAGCCGCCCCTGCCTCATTGGAAGGAGGCTCACTGAAGAGCCCCCCTCCTTTCCTCTACCGCCTGGACCACACCAGTAGTTTCTCAAAAGACTTTCTGAAGACCATCTGCTACACCCCCACCTCCTCGTCCATGAGCTCCAACCTGACCCGGAGCTCTAGCAGTGACAGCATCCACAGCGTCCGTGGGAAGCCCGGGCTGGTGAAGCAACGGACACAGGAGATAGAGACCCGGCTTCGGCTGGCGGGCCTCACTGTCTCCTCCCCACTGAAGCGCTCACACTCTCTTGCCAAACTCGCAAGTCTCAACTTTTCGACAGAAGACCTGTCCAGCGAGGCTGACCCATCCACCGTCACTGACTCCCAGGACGCCACATTGAGTGAATCTTCCTTCTTGCATGAGCCCCAGGCAAACCCGAGGGACCCAACTACAACCTCCAAACCATCAGGGAAACTTGCCCCAGAAAACTTGAAGAGCCCCTCGTGGATGAGCAAAAGCTGACCCGCCTTTTGCTGCGTTGGGCCAGGCAGATACTTTCACACGATCTCTCCCTCACTTTCACTGTGTATTTTGATCAACCCTTTACATCTTGATTTCCCTTAAATGATTGAAGTCATCCTGACTTTTCCCCCACTCTTGCCACAGAGAGGAGGAGAAGATACCAACCAACATGCAGCACAAGAAGGGGAGCTGTCAGTCATGTGGCCTGGGAGAACTAAGACCTGTGGCCAGGAGACACACAACTCCACTCCTACTGTGTCTTCAAGAATAACCGTGTTTTAGAAAGAACGTGCACACACAGGCGCACACATCCAGACTGTTCCATTTGCAGCCTGCAGAAGAAGAGTCCTGGGGACGGCAGCATCACCGCGGCACACACTCTAACTCATTCTGGGCCTCGCAGAAAACTCGGATGGCAACATGAAGTCCTACCTCTGTTCTCGCTGTGCTTGTTATTTTTAAAACACAAGAATGACCAAGGCTTGTTCCAGGGAATCCTGCTGTGTCTGAAAGCATTTTTCAAAAAAAAAAAAAACAAAAACGAATTTTTTGTTTTGTTTTTTGATTGGGACTCCAGACGCGTCAAGATTTTTAACCCGACGGCCCCAAGCACTGCTGGGTGAAGTCATCAGATGGGTAGTCCCATGCTGTTGTTGCGCCAACTCTGTGCCCGAATGGCGGTGCAGACTGTCCTGGTTGTGTTGCTACAGCTGAGTGATGTGTTTGACCAGCACAGGGGTCCAGTGAGGAAAATGTGTGGGTTGTTCTCAGTTATCGCTAATGCTGTAGTTTAAATCTCGAGGGGAAGGACCCGCCTGCATTGTTGAGCCTCTGCTGCAGAAACTCATGGTTGTGTTTAGGTTTGAAGTTGCTCAAGTGTCTGGCGCAGGTGGTGGTTCTGAGACACAAATCATCCCGCTGGGAGCCTGGATGCTCAGGTTCACTAGGGCCCATCTAGGGGAGGGAAAGGAGATTTCAGCAGCTTCCCCAGAAGGAACAGAACTGTCGGGACACTTCCCGGATGTTTACAGTTGCCCCTTCCTGCAGTGAGATTACTGCTTCCTGTTGTCCTCCAGCTCTTCCCAGCAGCCATGATGAAGTAAAAGAGGTATCTAGTCGCTGCCTCTGTGGGTGGCCCCTTTAAGACTCAGGTGAACTCCGGGAGTCCTGCTGCCCCAGGCGTGAATCAAAGGTGTCAGCAAGCTAGATGTCAACACATTTTGAGAGAGAAGCAGCTTATAGAAAGCCAGAAAGGTTGAATTCAGGGGTCAGCAAACTATGGCATACGGCCCTGTGAGCTAGGAATGGCTTTTCCTTTTTCCTTTTAGACAGCGCCGCCCAGCTCTGTCAGTGCCTGGCTCTGTCACCCAGGCTGGAGTACAGTAGTGCAATCATGACTCACTGCAGCCTCAGCCTCCCTGGTGTAAGCAATAGCTTTTATATTTTTAAGGAGTTGTTAAAAAAAGAAATAATATATGACAGAATTCACATGGCCCACAAAGCCTGAGATATTTACTGTCAGGATTTGTATAGAAAAAGTTGCTGACTCCTGGTTTGATTTGCCACACAGGGCTGCCCATGGCCTTGTAGGAAGAAACTGGGTACATTTGAAGCCCTCTGCCTCAGACACCTAAAGTCAGACCCTTCGCTCCTCCTGACCACAAGCTTTGTCAGCCTCCCACGGGAGTAGTTGCATGCATGGAGGAAGGCAGAGGAACACAGTTGGGCTGAAGCTCTTCCGCAATTCCATCTTGCCCTCAGCTGGTCCACCAGATTAGCTAGTGAAACCAGAAAGCCTCAAGGGCCAGCCAAATTCTGAGAGTCGGTGAGTGGGCCTTCATCTTACCTTGGTCAGAACCGTGCTCTCCAAAGCTATTCTAGAAAGCACCACAGGTGAGGTCTTCAAAAACAAGGCTAGTTCATATTTCACCTAATGGGTAGAGTTTTTGCAAAAATCCTCTCTCCAGGACTTTGTCTCCTTGGAGTGATTTTTAAAAATACATATATTACTTTATAGGAAGCTGTTTTCCCACTAGTGTCAATTAAAATCACCTTAAAAGGTGATTATCCAGTTATTCCTGAAACCCTGTGGGTTCCCCCCTCCCCCTCAGCCAACAAAAGCATAGCCTCAAAAAATATCAAGTTCAGTATGTTTTGCCAAATCAAATTTCATGTGGTAGATCAATTTTTGTGTAAAAATAATCTTTTAAATTTAGTGATGACAGGCTTACGTTGGTTTTTTAACCACGTCTATGTATGAGAGTGATATATTTTTGAAAACTTTAATTTTGAAAGCCATAATTTTTCTTACCTAGTTAAAGAGTTGAGGGGGTGTGGAATGGGGAGACTGCAAGTGGGTCTTTGGCTTCTGGAAAATGTATCCATTCATTTTCAGCACAGCTAGCATATCAGCATCCACACAGGAGCAGTGGTCCCCATCATCAGAGCAGAGTGAAGCATTCTTGACTTAATGCTTAATACTCTGGCCTGGAGAAAAGATTTTTTTTTGGAAAGCCAGATCAGTGGCATGTAAACATATGGCATGTGGCTATTTAAAATGCTATATGATTGGACAGGGCGTGGTGGCTCACACCTATAATCCCAGCCCTTTGGGAGGCCCAGGTGGGCGGATCATCTGATGTCAGGAGGTCTAGACCAACCTAGCCAACATGGCGATAACCCATCTCTACTAAAAATACAAAAACTTAGCTGGATATGGTAGTGCGTATCTGTAATCCCAGTTACTTGGGAGGCTGAGGTGGGAGAATCACTTGAACCTAGGCAGCAGAGATTACAATGAGCCAAGATAAAGTCACTGCACTCCAGCCTGGGTGACAGAGTGAAACTCTGTCTCAAAAAATAATAAAATAACATAAAATGCTATATGAACAAGATAAACATTCTGCCAGGCTTTGGGGCACCTGGGCAAAGACAAATTCATACTGGTCTCTGAAAAGAAAGTTTGCACTGTAACGTGCCATAGCTTGGCTCTTGCTTTGTATGCAACCTTAGCTGATGGGGAAAATTCTAAACATAAGTGGCACAGGAAAGAGGCAGGCGGAGGCAGGGATTTATGCTGTGCAAATCACTGATCTTTTATGACTATCATTTTCATTGAATGCTTTTGTTCAATTGGGACAAAAGGAACATTTTTTAGATGAGCTTGATACTCTGTATAAACAGCTGAATCTTATCTTCTGCCTCACGTTAATTCATATGGCATGCCAAAAGTTAGACTGAACTTTTCTACATCTTCATCTTGCATTGATACAGGGAAGTCTTAACTCTTATTTTGTTAAGTATCAGGGGAATAGTGGTCACAGAAAGAGGAGAACCAGGCTGTTCTCTGATGGTAATTGACGACGCTGATTTCCATTTCTTTGCCTTGTGGCTACTTCCAGTCTTCTAGCAAGGTCCCTGGTTGTGCATTTCCTAAGAACAAATTTTATTTCTCTTTACATTCCCGGCTTCCTTACTCTCCATGCAGGGACTGCTGCCAACCTCTGAGCTGTTGAATAGCTCACTGCTGGGTGGCAAGCCCTTCTCCTTGGCACCCTGTTGCTTAAGCATGCAGATTGCTCACCAGGTGCACACAGACAGCTGCACTGTCCAAGCCCCGTTCTACTCCACCCTGCCCTCTTCAGCTAAAGAGCATTCTGGTCAGTCTAAAGCCCTTTCCCCTTGGATAAGTCCAGAGGATGCCGCAGTATGGAGCCGAGCTTGAACTAACAGACCCTCAGCACGGCCCTGAACGAATGTACTTTTATCTCAGGGCAGCCCATTCTAGAAGGTTGATGAATTTCCTCCCACTCTCCTGGGGACCTTTTCTCCCTAATAAGAACAAATGCTACATAATTTAGTCAAGATCTTATTAAGTCACCTCACCTGAGGCATCTGGAGACGGACTTGCCTTCCATTGGTGGGAAATTGTTGGTGCCAGAATAAGTTTTGCTCAACTCTTCTCATTGGCTGGCCACCTAGCAGGGCTCCTCTAAACACGCAGTCAGCGAGGGTACCCCCTTCACCTCTGGCAAGAGAGCTGGGTAGATCAAAAACTTGGTGACATCTGGGCAGTACTTGTCTTGGTCCCCCTACCCAGATTTCTACCCAGGTCCCACATTGCAGGCCAAATGAAGGTTGTTGAGTTACCTATGGAAAGACCCAGCCCCTTGTTTTCTTAGCGTCTGCTCTGCAGTGAAATGCCCGTGTGTTTGAGTTCACTCTGCATCCTATATATTTGAGTCTGGAAACCAAGTCAAATGATCATGTGCATCCAGACACACTGTGTCACCTGAGCCACAGAGCAAATCACCTTCACGATCTGGAATGATACTGTGACCAGTGCTGCCCTGGGTGGCTCTGGAGAGACTGCTTTCTTGTTTGGCCGTAGTTGCTGGGGCCCTGGCTTCGGTCACTATCAGACAGGAGTCCTGATAAGCAGATCACCAGTCCTCCACTGTCCTTCCTGTCGGCCTTGCTGCATGAGAAGATAGCTGCTTCCTCCCTGTTTTCCTACACGGTAATTATTGTTTTACAATTGAGTGCCTTAATAATAGTTTACAAATACTATGTATTTATGCAAAACTGTTAAAGTGTCATCTGTTGTGATCGGATACTTTGTCAGTAGTGGTCGGTATTGGGATGTAAGCTTGTCCTACTCCATACGTGTTTATTCTGCTATGCAGTTTTACATTGTGTGTTCACATCTATTCCAAGGAGCCTTGCTAGAAACAGCTCTGGGAGTTCCTGCAGGCCAGGCAGGCATTGGCTGATGCTGCGTCCCATAGGAGCCAATGAAAGAAAGTAGCTGGATCCACTAGCCAGCTGTGGGGTGGTGCAGGCCAGCTGGCCTCTGCACCAGAGCCCAGCACCCGCCCGTTCCCCAGTCACACAATTGTACTCTTCTTTCTTCGAGATTTTATTTCCACCTAGGCCACCCTAGTTTTCCTCTCTGTTACTGTCCTGAGCTCTTTTGCAACAAAATGTAGGTACAGACCAGTCCCTGCCCCCTCCCCCAATCGGGAGCTCCACACGATGAGTTGTTTGGTTTTTCAGAAGCTGCCAGTGGGTTCCCGTGTATTGCGTTACGATATCAATGATTTTTTATTGGTTTTCTTGTTTTTTAATAATATATTTAAAAGGCAGTATCTTTTGTACTGTGAATTTGCAGTAGAAGATGCAGAATGCACTTTTTTTTTTACTTTTGTTGGTATGTGTTGTATATAGTGGTGTGCTTCTTGTGATGAAAATAAACTTTTTCTTTATAAATATCTGATGACCATGAGTTTATATAAAAGGAAACTGCTTCCTCAGCCCTTGTCAAGACAGTCTGATACATCCTCATCATCATCTTTATTATTAACTTAGCACCTATTTTTTGTGAAGTTCTTTGCTAGAAAGCCTGGACAAGTTACACCGAAGAAAGGACCACAGGAAGAAATGTTAGCTCCTCCCAGGACTAGTCTGTTTTCTTCCTAATTTTGTCAGTAAGCAAGAGCAGGCCCACTTGTGGGTGGTCCTTTGTGTGCCAAAAAAAAGTTACCCACCAGGAAGGGGTTTGGACTTCGGGTGGGTTCTCTTCCTGTACAAATAGGAAATGTAAGACCGGAGATGTGCACTAGAGAACATCTAACCTGCTCCCACCAGTCCAAGTGGGAGAGGAGGACTCTGGAGGCTAAGCACTACTAATTTCCCAGGAACATGCTCATGTCTCAGTCCACTGCACACCAGGCAGCTTTTGGTGGCTCTCCTCCCTTGGAGATTCAGTGAGCAGGGCCGCTTCCATTTTTTTTAATGTTATTGAGACTGGGTCTGGCTCTGTTGCCCAGGCTGGAGTTCAGTGGTGCAGTCCTGACTCACTGCAGCCTCAAATTCCTGGGCTAAAGTGATCCTCCCACCTCAGCCTCCCTGGTAGATGGGACTACCTTACCTCACTAATTTTTTAAATCTGTCACAGAGATGAAGTCTTGCTTTGCTGCCCAGGCTGGTCTTTTAGCCTGTCTTCAAGTGATCCTCCCACCTTGGCCTCCCAAAGTGCTGGGATTATAGGTGTGAGCCACTTTGACTTCCATCTTAAAATCCTGCTGCCTAGAGTTCTTTGCTTTCTGCTGTGTAGTCAGGGAGGACTCACAGTCACTTTCAGTCTCCTCTGTCTGGATGTGACATATCATTTCTACTTGCTTTCCAGTGGGCGAGACCCAGTCACAGGGTCCCACTGCAACAGGCAGGGAGACTGGAAATGTATGGGGCACATGTATTTGGTGAGCAGTGACTGCCACAAGTACAGGAAGTATTTTGTTCAGTTCATCTAGACTTGCTCTGTCTCTCAACTGGACTCAGAAAGACTGATGAATAAGCCAGAATGCAAGTTTATTAATTTACCAAAAGAATGTGTCAACCAGACTAGATTACTCACATGCTGATTAGCACATTTAGTCCTTCTAGATAAGCCTTTCCATTTTTGAGACCGGGTCCACCCCCGTTACCACGCTGGAGTGCAGTGACACAGTTGTGACTCTGAAGTGTTGATTTCCTGGGCTCAAGCAATCCTGCCTCAGCTTCCCAAAGTGTTGAGATTACAGGCATGGGCCATGTGCTCAGCCCTTCTAGGAAAATCTATATGGGGTGCCAAATTTTGGTTAAGAATTGCTTACTGAATATTAAAAGTTTAGCAGGAAGCTGCTGCTTTTTTTTTTTTTTCTTTTGAGACAGTTTCGATCTTGTTGCCCAGGCTGTAGTGCAATGGTGAGCTCTCAGCTCACTGCAACCTCTGCCTCCCGGGTTCCCAAGCAATTCTCTCGCCTCAGCCTCCTGAGTAGCTGGGACTACAAGCATGTACCACCATGCCCAGCTAATTTTGTATTTTTAGAAGAGACATGGTTTCTCCATGTTAGTCAGGCTGGTCTTGAACTCCTGCCCTCAGGTGATCCACCTGCCTCAGCCTCCCAAAGTGCTGGGATTACAGGTGTGAGCCACCAAGCCTGGCTATGGGATGCTTCTAATAGTGTTATCAAGCTATAATGCAGCCCTTTCTCTGTAAAACGTTTTAAAAACAAATTACTGAGGGTCATGGTTCAAGACACTCTTCCCTGACAAGGCTGGAGATAGCCGAAAAATTCTCTTTGGGTTCCAGCCATGAATGGGGTAGGATGGGCCCCAGCAATCTGTATGTTTCTGTGATTCCCTGGGAATTCTGATGGCCAAGTTTAGAAACCACCAAAATAAGAATGTGATGCAACAGACTAGGCTCACGCTTTGCTGGTTACAATCACATCGCACACATGCTTTCTGGAGACAACACCCATACCACCCTGACAGAATATGGGTGTTGCCAAAACTCATCGATACTTACTTGCTCAGGGGCCCAGGGTTCCTGTAATTGGTTGCTTTTGCACTGATTTTCTTCTCGGTGTCACCATCTCGCAGTTGGGTGTGATCCCAGCTCACACCTACAGGGGAGATGGTTCTGCTGGGGAGGATCCACATGCTTGTTTATGCCTGGGGAAGCCCCTCTTGGCAAGATGTTTGGGAGAGGCTCCAAAGGCAGCACCGAGGAGGATGGAGAAGGACAAGGTAGAATTTAGGGGTATTCATTTTATGGTAAAGAAGCCCTTTCTAAAGGAGAGTTCCACTAATAGTGTACAAAGTGAGCCCTACCCAGGAAACCACCTACCCACGCATCCTTGCCTCCTAGAACCAGGTTGTGGTTATCACATACCTTCTTTGTGCTTTATATAAGGAATCCCATGGACACTGTGATCTGTGCTGCAAATCTCAAAAGAGGTGAGAGGGCTGGGCTCACACCTGTAATCCCAGCACTTTGGGAGGCCGAGGCGGGCAGATCATTTGAAGTCAGGAGCTCAAGACCAGCCTGGCCAACATGGGAAATGCCGTCTCTACTAAAAATACAAAAATTAGCTGGGCAGGGTGGCGGGTGCCTCTAATCCTAGCTACTTGGGAGGGTGAAGCAGGAGAATCACTTGAACCTGGAAGGCAGAGGTTGCCGTGAGCCAAGATCATGCCACTGCACTCCAGCCTGGGCAACAGAATGAGACTCCATCTCAACAAAGAAAAAGAAAGTAGAGGAGAGTCCTTTTCCTTCTAACTTTCCTGGACTCTTTGGACTACCTTGGAACCCTTCTATTTACTGCCCTGTTGGCATTATCCTCAGTTTATGAAAAACAGGCCCACAGAGAGGAAGTAATTTGCTCACAGGTACATCTAAAAAATGATGAAGCCAGAGAAGAATTTCTCCTTCCTCATCTGAAACCCTTCCCAGAGCTGTGTCTCCCACCCAGAAGCAGAAAGAAGCCAAGCAAAGATGCATCTTGATCTCCCTTGTGGTCTCAGCAAGAAAGCAGATGCGTTGGGGATGAAGCCTCCAGCCCCTGGGAAATCGGAACCACTTCTTGCCCCAGAGGCCATTGAGGTGACACAAGGTGTGCTTCTCTCCCGCAGATCACAATCACCATATTTCACCTTTAAATGGAAACCATGAATCCTGAAGTACCCCTGTTAAGAGTCCAGTTTCAGCCTGAAATTTCTTTTCTTTTTGTAAACCACTTCAGCAAATAAAGTGTTGGCATTTACACTAGCAACCTCCCAGCCTAGGAGGGGATGCTCTGGCATCCGACTCTAAAAGACAAATTTTGCTGGGCACCGTGGCTCACGCCTGTTATCCCAACATATTGAGAGGCTGAGGCGGGCAGATTGGTTGAGCCCAGGATTTCAAGACCAGCCCGGGTAACATGGTGAAACCCCATCTCTACAAAAAATACAAAAATTAGCCAGTGGTCCCAGCTACTTGAGTGGCTGAAGTGGAAGGATCTCCTGAGCCTGGGAGAGGTGGCAGTGAGCCGAGATTAAACCACTGCACTCCAGCCTGGGTGACAGAGCAAGACCCTGTATCAAAAACAAATAAAAAGAAAAGATTAAAAAGAGACAGATTATCCCACAAGTGGTACATTGTGGTGGTGGTGGTGGTGGTAGTCCTCCTTCTGGTTGTTGAAACTGGATCAAAGCAAGTTGACAATGCTACCTACTTCATGGGGCCATTGGAGAATTCGCCGATAATGCGTGCAAAACCCCTTCTGCCTGGCACACAGCCTAACAGGTAAATGGTGGTTGTGATGGTTGGAACTGACATATATACTGAGCATCTTCCAGTTGCAAGGGTTTCACATGTATTACCAAGTTAATCCTCACAGCAGATATGGGTTCAGGCAATTCTCCTGCCTCAGCCTCCTGAGTAGCTGGGATTACAGGCACACGCCACCATGCCCAGCTAATTTTTTGTATTTTTAATAGAGATGGGGTTTCACCATGTTGATCAGAATGGTCTCGATCTCCTGACCTCGTGATCCACCCGCCTCGGCCTCCCAAAGTGCTGGGATTACCCCTGCTTTATTTGCCAAAGTTTGGAACGTTTGGGGATACCCATGACTGCCTAAACCAAGTTCCGCTGGGGCTGGGGCCATTTTCAGTCACTTCTGGGACTGGCAAGGGCCTGGCACATTGGGACTGAACTCCAGGTCGATGCCAGGCATTTGCTGTGAATCTAAGAATCCTGAGTTTTTCGGAGTCCAGAAGAATCCGAAAGGTCAGCCGAGCCAAGCCCCTTTATAACGTCCACCCATGTTGGCATTCTTCTCTGGTTCACAGAGTCCCTGCCGCTGGCCAGGCACTGGGGAAAAGCAGAGGCAGCCTGTGGCATCCTGAGGATCCTGACACAAAGCTCTCTAAAAAAAAGAAAACGCACCACCTGCTAACAGCAATGGGTTAGACAGGTAGAGTTGAAGGCTTATTTTGTTCCTCCTTTTGTCTGTTTTCCAAAATCTGTGCCACAGAATGATGTTACTTTTGTTTGTTTGTTTGTTCTGAGACAGAATCTCACTGTTGTCACCCAGGCCGGAGTGCAGTGGCACAGTCTTGCCTCACTGCAATCTCCACCTCCTGGGCTCAAACAATTCTCCTGCCTCAGACTTCCAAGTAGCTGGGACTACAGCCATGTGCCACCACCTCTGGCTAATTTTTGTATTTTTAGTAGAGATGGGAGTTTCACCATGTTGGCCAGGCTAGCCTCCAACTCCTGACCTCAGGTGATCCACCCACCTCGGCCTCCCAAAGTGCTGGAATTACAGGTGTGAGCCACTGCACCAGGCTTTTTTGTTTTTTTAGACAGAGTCTATCTCTGTCACCCAGGCTATAGTGCAGTGATGTAATCTTGGCTCACTACAACCTCTGCCTCCTGGGCTCGAGGGATTCTCCTGCC